GTGAGGTGCGAGGTCAGTAGAGTTCTGACATAACAAATTATCTGAGTATACATTTCTTCCGATAAGTGTAACAGTAGTAAAAAGTTCCTTTCCTTCTAAAAAGGCGGTTAGTAATTTTCATTTTTAATTTTTGCCCATCTAAATATTAGATATAATGGATATGGAATTCAGTAATTCGTCTGATGAATCCATATGTTGGTCCTAGTTCCCTGTGCATGTTAACTACTTCGAGATCATACAATTGCGCCATTATTCGTGGAAAAGATGATAAATTAAAATCAGATACAGTTTTTTCTTACAATAGTGCAAAAAAGAGAGTTGATGTATCTGACCAAATGTGTTCCAATTATAAATGTTTACGGAAAACAGTAAAATGGTATCGAAAAGTTGTCACGGAGCTAATATGCTAGATCTCTTTAGTAAATGCGTGGTACATCCACAAAAAGTGAGGAACCAAGCGTTACCAAATTTTAAAATTTAGAGAAAAAATTATTGATTATCTATTGAAGAGTGTTGAGAATTCCCTAGTGGAGAATTAATAGTAAGTAGATGGAAAAAAATTTTTTTTTAAATTCACACCAAGCATATGCGAGGAAGATGAGGAAAAGATATAAAGAGTCTTACAAATGCTTAACAAACTTAAAGGTACACCACAAACAAAACTCAAAAAAAGTAATGACCTTTTGTAGTAGTTGTCCGGATGAGGCAGCACTTAGTTTAAAATGTTTAAAAAATTGCATCGGTAACATAAGTAGTTATATTTTGTTAATGTATTGATTAAATTATAAGTTATGCCAGTGGGTCATGCCGGCGTAAACATGTAAATGCCTACATTAGCAGGGAAAATATGAATGAATGCATTTGAAAAATATCTTTAAAAAAAGGGTACTTTCTCATTATCCAGAACTTCTTGTGAAAAAGTATTGATTGGGACAATGTGCCACATTGCCAAAAAAATATTTAAAGTTTACTTTTCCCCTTTATGAATTCCCCCCCCCATAGTGATGTTCTTTTGTGATTAACCAGTACAGGAGTTCTCAACAAAGGGGATATTTTATAGTTTCAGGGAGGAAATGAGATCATCCTTTTATTTAGCTGTTTAGTTTATAAAAAACTGCTTTTATTCAAATTTAGATATTTATCAACAATTTTTTGCTTAGTTTACAAAATGTGTAAAAACATTTTCTAAGACTAAATAAATGCATGTATTAGTGTTTGAGTTTTAGAAGGGCAAACAATCCAACGACAGTGAAACTTGTTGAAATTCTTTTGAAGCAGTATCTAACATTCTTTAGCTTATAATTTTATTACAAATGGAGAATTTCCAAAACAGTTTACTCATGCGTAATTTATAAGTTTTAAACGCTAAAAATGCATTATTAACATTTTCATGTAGTTTTATTACTTCAGAATCACAATCTAAACCTTATAAAAATTATTAAACTAGAAATATTTTAATTTATGAAGCAGACAACTCTTGATCGTTTACTATAACACAAATTCTATAAGATTTTAAAAACTTTAAAATTGAAGGATCTTGGTAAATTCTTATTGTACGAAAATCACATTTTTTGCACTTTATAATGAGTAGAAAATTTCCCTAATACAGACTGCAACAGTTGTTAATTTAAACTCAAAATGCAAGAGTTGTAAAAGTTATTTTCATAATTTTCACAAAATTAACTGTTAAATTATAAAATGCCATCCTTTAAAACATGTTTTTTTAGTTAGAAATATATCTCTACAATGATTGCAAAAACTAATGGTTTGATTGCTAAAACCTTCTATGACACAATATACATTAGAAATCTGATAGCAAGATATAAATTTATTGCAATAGAATGACAATGTTTTCTAGATACAGTTCTTTCATGTCAATGTTTTCTCAAAGGATCACTCAAAAGAAAAAATGTTACTCAATTAATTTATTATGATAACAAGCTGGATGTATAGTTTTCTGTAAAGAAGATAATGCCAAAAAAAAAAATTGCGGACTGCTGTTCCAGAGAATCAGTATACAGTATGAATAAATTTTAAGTACTAAGATTAAATTCATACTTGCATTATGAATAAATTTTCCAAACAAAAAAAGCCATGGATGATGCATGATACCTCAGAATACCCTTTCCCCTCCCCGTCGCAAAAAAAAAGTGGGATATAATTTCTCCACCGCATATCATGCCAAATATGATAAATCAGGGTTTCTTGAACTGTGCTTCGTGGGAACTGCAGCAGGGGGTCGCCAAATAGCAGTTTTGATATTTCTTTAACTTATTATAATAATTTTACAATTACCAAATACTTTTACACAATGTACCTGAAAATAGATAAAGATAAGACAATACAGACAAAGAAAAAAACTATCGTTTTTCGATGCATTCTTTTTATAATATAAAGGTTCATTTTCCTTGTTTTGCACATAACGCTGTAATTTTGTTTATTACTCATTAAAAATTTTCACATTGTTTTGTCTTAAAATTAGAAATTTAAGTTAATGACTTAAAACTGCAATAGAATATTACAGTACAAGTGAAAAAATTGACAGTTTCACTCACACGTGTGTCGGATTTGCACAATACTTATGGGGGTCTCGCAAAATTTTTGTAAATATTATGGGGTCCTGGGAGTCGCGAAACAATCTCAGTAATAAAAAAGGAGTTGTGACTGAAAAAAGTTTAAGAAACCCTGATATAAATGATACTCCAAAACATAGTCAAAGCAGGGGAGGAAATGTTTTCAGAAGATGGAATGGAAGATCTGGAAAATGTTTGCAAAATGGAGCAAGGACAATGTTTCATAGAACATTATCAAAGCAGTAATAAGTTGACAATAATTTATTTGAAATAAATTGACAATGCCACATCATGCTTCAGAAACATTTTAAAATGCAGAAAGGTACAAATCAAGGTAGACAAATTCTTAAATAGGAGAAAGCAAACTTCAGAGAAAAAAGGGAAGAAAAAGCTATTTGATATTTTTACAGAATAAGATTTCCATTTAAACACCATTATTTTGCATTTTTGGTTCCTCCATCATTTTCCATTTTTTTGTAGAGAAAAGGTAAAATTTAATTTGTTTTTCTATTTTTGTATGTTTACTATGTTAAATACTGCATGTGTGATAGATTTAATTTGATTGATATTATGGTGATGAATTTCACCATAACATCATGTGACCTCGGAAAAATGAGAACATTTCATTTTTTTTTTGTTTAATAGAATTTGCAAATATTTCCTCTTTTCCTTCTCTGGAAATTATAAACTTAAATATCAATATCAGCATAATAATGATTTAGTTTTAAGGTAAGTATTACATGCTGCAATATTTTATATATCATACGATATGACAAAATATCATTTTGATGCTTGTATTCAATACTCTAAACTTGTGGTCCAAAACTAGCAGCCTCTGAAGTTTTATGCAGCCCACAAATACATTTCAAATATGTATTTGTGTCAAATACAATACTGAAGATAACAGTTAGTTTGAAGTCCCAAGTTTATATTATCATTAAAAACAAACCTGTACAGCACACCAGAAAATCTATAAATTGAGCATTGAGCTAATTAATTTATAATGTGATATAAATCTTATTCAAAAATTTGAAGATGCATATTTTTTGTACTTGTCAAAAAATAAGTATACATAGTTACAAATTTTTGTACTAAGAATAATCACTTCAATTTGGGAAACAGTTCCTTTCCACAAATGAAAAATAAGAAAAAAAGAACCACAATCTGTGATGAAAATAATTTCTCTCCAAGGCTACAAACTGTGTCACAATCAAAATGCCATTAAATGTTCAGTTGCAATAAAAAATAAAGAAGCTTATAATTTACACACAAATATAATTTTTTTGTTTGTTTATGTGCCACAAACAAATTTTATAAATAAAAGAAACAAGTTGGCCATTATTCATAAGTTTTGTCCAACTTAGAAAGTTTTTAGTTTTTTTTTTTTTTTTTTTTTTTTTTTTTTTTTTTTTTTTATTATTATTTTGAGTTTTAAAATAAAAGTAAGTTATTTAATGATTAATTAAACATGTTAGAATTATCTGTAATAAATATCAGTCTGAAAATGTAACATTTCTTTAAGTTAAAAAGTGTAATGAAAAAAAATTTGTGGCAAACATAATATTTCAAACAAATTTGAATATTTTTTCTTTGGATATTATTGTTTATGTTTATATATATACATCTGTAATATAACTGCTCCATTATTGTTATAAGACTCACTTGGTGATATAAGATTGCAACGGATTAACAATGATTCTCGTCTTATAACTGCATGCTTGGCAAGCTGAGACTCGAAGATCTCACATAACAATGAATTCCACACATAATGTTATTCCTTGATAATGCACATCATCACTGTGGGTGCGCTATGCACCCTCCATTCTATACAACTTACATTTCTTAAACAATGGAAGAAATTTAGTAAACTCTGCGTAGCTAGTGGCAAGGCAACACCAAGCGTCTAGAAGCACATATGAAGAGCGAGAGTTGCGATGCAGTTGACCTTTTTATACCGAATTCCATTTCAGATCACATGACAGATTAATGTCTAGATGTTGGGTTAAGGTTTCATCGATAGGTGCGCATCAGAATTGCAGGAAGTTTAATTAGAAAAATTATTGCTCTGTTATTCAGAATGAAAATGGGAGTTAAAAGGCTATTATTAATTTATTATTTGAAAGATAAATATTTTACATATATATATATTGATAAATATTTAGTAAGAGAAGTATTTAACTTATTTAAAATATTTTCGGTTTTGTAAATTCAAAATTTTCATTTTGTTTTTAAAAAAATTCTGTCACATCAGCTGTTTTTAGGTTCGGCATTGAGTTTCAGCTTTACTTAAAAAACTCTTTCTCTTTTACCTTTGCAACAAAGAGTATGCACTGAAATTCAAATTTTCTAAATGAAAGTCTATATTTAAATCAAACAAAAACAACCCTAAAGAAAATAGAAACTTAAGAAACAATAAAATAGATCATAAACATTTCATAAGCATTTATTTTAAATGTATTTAAACTCTAAAAACACATCAGTACATTGCTGACATCTTGAGAAATGCATTTCATTAATAATACAAACATATATGAAAATAGGCATTAAATTTTAATCAATAAATAATTCAAAAAGAATTGTACTGGTATAATCCTCCAATGAGTAGCACACTGAGTATCCAAAAGAAAAATCAGATTTCAAAGCATAAAAATATTAGTTTTTTTTTTTTTTAATTATAAATACATTATATAACATCTTTACACCTTCCCCCCCCCCCCCCACACACAAAAAAAACTTGCAATTTTAAACTGGATTGTTCTTAGCTTTAATTATCTTACCTGTATATTACATATAACTATTTTAAAAGAATTTAAATGCTGGTAGATTTGAAATCAACAAGCTTGCATAGAATTCATAATACAAAACTCCAGTTAAAATGAAAATATTTTGATTTCACAACTGCAGTTTTTTTTTTTTTTTTTTTTTTTTTTTTTTTTTTTGCATAGTAGCAGTTTTTCTCCTGAATTCAATCATTATATAAAATGCAAGTCAAAAATCACAAATGTTAGTTTGATTTTTTAATGTCAGTTTTTTTCCCTCTTTTAATTCTGCTTCATATTTACACAGAAAATTCTAAAGACAAAACATAGATGTAATTAATTGTATTAAGTCGTGTATTTAACTATGAAATTATTAAAGATTTAACAATAATTATTGTAATATGAATTAACTTTTAACCCTTTCAGCCTTGCAAGTGGCATTTCCCACCTTCATGTGTAAAGATCTATTTTATCAGTACTGGAAACTGTTTTATTATCCATCACCATAGGTCTCATCTGTCAGCTTTACTGCATGTGTTTTCCCACTTGACTGTTTACTCTGAAACCTGATGGTGGCAATTGCCACAACATCGCAGTTTCTAGAACTGAAGTAGGAACTGGTTTGCAAGGGAGTTCTTTGGATACCTATAAAGAATACTTTGTAGACTTTCATTCCACGTCTCAAAGTCCATGACTGAAAGGGTTAATATGATCTTAAAAAGAAAAAAGGCCTGCTTTTCTAAATAGAAAATCAGTCAAAAATGAGCAGCCTAACTTGGAAGATAACAAAATATTCTTCAATTTTCCAAAATTTAGTAAAATAAATCAATTTGAAGTCAAAAATAAATGCGATAAAGCATAACTTTGTCTGGTCTTCAAAAAATAATGTTTCTAAAAATGATGTAATAGCATGCAAATAACATGTAATAAAATAGTATCACTGCTAGTTCATACACAAATAATACATGAAAACTCCTTCTTTCAGGTTAGGCAATTAAAAAAATAAAGTGGTACTTATGTATTCATGCAACCAATTTAGTAGAAATCACCAAATTTTTCAGAATGCTCTGACAACCATGTGCATAATAGCACTTCAGTTTCAGCAAAAAAAAAAAAAAAAAAAAAAAAATCGCAAGTTTTCATAGGCATTCTTTTTGTTGTAATTGAAAAATTTTTATAGAAAAACGGTGATTTATTTAATCTTAAAATCAATTTTAATAAGTATGGGTTACAACATTTCCCAAAGATGGAAGAAATTTGCTGGATAATTTCTGAAAAAGTACAGTAATTTTTCACAAAATCACTAAAAGGAAGAACTGCTTTGAATTTATTTTTAAAGGAATCACCTGAAATTTCTTTTTAACAATTTTATCGATCGATTCTTGAGAAAAATTTTAACGTGCATAATAGTTTTATAAAACAATAGGTTTATTTGTAATTTTTTTTAAATTATATGTCATCATTCTTTTTTTCCCATAAAGAATCCCCAAACTGTGCCAAGGTGGTCACGCTAATACACAAGTACCAAAAAAAAAAAAAAATAATAATGCTTTTCAAGATGCTGATTTTTTAATATGCACCTCCTAAAAATTGTATCTCAAACTGCTTTTGTTGTGCAGTCAATAACAGGCATGCAAGTAATGAGAAATCATTATAACAAGAATTCTCATGGTTGCTGAACTGATTCTTCATAAAGCTTTATTTACACAAACTAATTGTTTTTAATGATTGATGCTTTTTTAAAAAAATACAAACACACATATGCCCATATAATTTAAAGTAAAAAGGCTTTCATACTAATTACATTTTAAAAAATGCCTTTTATTTATAGTAATGATATATATATATATATATATATATACATATATATATATAGTTAGTCAGACCGACAATGCATATGCGTATCACACAACAATGGAAGTGAAATGAATATCTTTCTACAAAATTATGTACAACTTAACAAATAATACATTATTAGACATCTTTTTACAAATATTGGGCATCTTAAAATCCCAGGTAAATACAATTCCACAGGGAATAAAAGTTTTAAAATCCTGCCTTTAGTGTACGAAGACTTTGCGGATAGATGCGCAGATGAGTGTGCTGCACTCTATCAGCATATAAAATATTTGTACAATTTTAATTAGTATGACTACATGTACAGAGAAACTGTCCTGGCACTTAACTTGCATTTAAAGCGCATTTCATTCATAGTTTTTTTTTAGGCTAAAAACATTGTTCAACCCTATAAATGCATCTCAGAAACACACTGGAGGTCATCATAAAGCTACTTACACTCAGAAACAGGCAATAAACAATAAATAAGTGGAAAGCAAAGTTTTTTTGTTACTTAGTTGTGTATTGCAATGCATGAGAGACTGTACTGCAATGGGAACGGGCCACTTCCTGCTAAACTTCCACATACGATTTCCCAGTAATTATTCAAATAAAAACTTATTTTAGCTAATAACAAACCCCAACTAGTCAGTATTTCAAAACTGTACATAAATTGAGAGAGGGGAAAGAAAGAAAGAAAAGAAAAAACTATGCACTCTTTTTTTCAATGGTCAACCGATGGCACGCAATTAAGGACAAACATCGTGAATTCAGTCAAACTCTTGTAGCACCTTTAATGGAACAAGATTTTTCTTGAGATTCTCTCCACATCACAGAGATTTGTGAGACTGAAATATTTGCAATTAGTTTATCATAAACTTACTGCTGTTCATTTTTCTTTCACCGGCTTATAAAGTTTTCAGTTTGTAGTTTTATGAAGCTTTTTTGAAAATGTTAGGCAGAAAATCTTTTTCTTTCACATTTTCGATTCGAAATCCATATTCTGTGACACTAAATACAAACTGCAAACAGCCACATTTGATGTAGCTTCCATGATGTAATAATGCCGTTCCTTCCCAGCCTGCTCCATTTCCTTCAACTAAGCTTGAGCTGTTGACATTGCAGTTACAAGGCTTCGAGTACTGAAGGGAGGAAATTAATTATCAGAAAAAAAATAACATAAGTATCAATATATAAATTTGAATAATAAAAAATAAATTGGAGATATTTAAATTTGTGCAAATAAAATTACACATCTATTTTCAAACTAGAAAAGCAAGGAATATAATTTTGTTTCATTTATTAAAAATTGATTTATGGTTCAGTTAATCAATTCAGACATTTGCCACACATTTGATATTTCAATATTATTTAAATAAATATTAAGCTTGCTTTTTTGATGGAGATGGTTTACATTATGGGTAACTGCTGCTTATATTTTTCTTTGCTAACAACTATAAATTCAGTATGGTCAGCAAGGCATTTGAAAATAGAGCATGGCTTTTAATTTAATTGTTTAAATATTAAAATCAGAATTTGCAGTAGGTGTAACTACAGATTTTCAAGAAGAGAATGGTTCATGGAAATGTTTAAGAAAATATTTACTTTACTAGTAAGAAAACACATTACCTAAGGAAAGTAACAAAATACTTTTTAACACAATATATCCAAATGCACAAGGAGCAATTCAAAGGACAATACAGAACAGCTATTTTTTTTTTGGGGGGGGAAGTTGATTGCTTTAAAAATGAATTCTGTCTCATGGATACCTAATTCTGTTTTAACACAATACCTAATGAATACAAAATTTTTTAAAAAAGACATTGTGTCTATGGCTACTTGTTTTTTAGTTATGTGAGATACATACAGTCGTCTATACAAAAAAAAAAAAAAAAAAAATCTCTTCTCAATCCATTTTACAATCAGTTTTGGGAAAAAGAGTTCTTAATATTGTGCTTACATACAGATGACATGCAAAAACATTGTTAAATTGCATTTGATAGCGGTCATAATGAATATTTTCGTTGAAATATGATACCTGAAATTTTTCGTGATCACAATACTTCCTTTACTTCATACAAGGAAGTAAAAAATCATCGAAAAGAAACCTCTTTTATACATAACATTTTATTCATTTGACCTCTGATATTAAATGGCATTTGCATATGAATGGAACATCACAGCTATCTCTAGAAATGTTGAGGACATTATTATCTTGCTCTATTAGTGAAATTCTTACTATGGTCTGAGCAAAATTGGAATGAATCTTCTCTGGCATTGATGTTTCACCAGTTTTACAAATTATTTTAGTTATTAAACACTATGTTTCAATCTGGTTAGAGCATTATACAATTCCATGTAAAAAGCTGTCAGCAACTTTACTTCATGCTGAAACTTCCCAATACATTTCTTTTTTATAACAATCATTTCAGGTAATTGGCCATACAAGCAGCTAGTATTTAATAAAACCAAGCTATTTGCATTTAAAATTTTAATAAAATGTCAAAAATTATACCTTTAATATGACAAAAGAATGAAAATTGGCTAACTCAATTGGTGTAATGTACTGCAATAAAAACTCACAAAAACAGCAATGCATGCTTCAAAGATCTTGACCATATTTTCTTTTTCAGCAGCGAGGGAAGCATTTATTTAATGGGTCACGATTCCCATAGTCTTAAGATCAAAAAGCATTAACTTCATTTACATCCATGGAAGAAAGTATAAGGCACAGTAAAGGTAAATTTGTTATGTGTACAGGCAACAAAGCGAAACTGTGGACCTGATGCCAGCTTGCGCCTGCTTCGCCATGATGAGTCAGTTTTTGGCATGAAGTTGAAAAGTTAGAAGATTTAGATGAAATGTGTTAATCAATTATTAAGATATAAAAAGGTTTAGTTGACAAGCAAAGTATATAGACGTTGCTATAGCTTACAAGATGACAATAGCACAAAAATTTTTACTACAAATGTATTTGTTTACTAGCATCAAAACCTTTTAACAATGTACTCTACATATTTTGAAATACATAATGTCAATTTTCATTGCTAATTTCTCCTTTTTCTAATTAATATCATTTTGCATATATTTCTTCAGCACAGTAACTGATTACCTGTTTCCCTCGTGCACTCATCATGGGTTTGTCATTTGGAGTTATTGGAGATGGAAGATCAGCCAATCTTAAGGTACTCTTTGCTAATCTTCTTACAGCTGCAGTCAAAGAGTTTGGAGTAGAAGGCTTCTTCTCTGACAGATCAGAAGAATATACTACATTGTCGACTGTAGTGCCATAACAACTGTAGTTTAACAATTCATAACGCTTGGTGACCTTATACACACAAAAAAGGGGGAAATATTAAAAATTAGGCAAAAAATTCAATAATATATGTTCTTAAATCAACATTTAAAATTTAATACTGACTGTATTAAAAAGAATATAAACTAGACACATCATTCAGAGTATACATGCAGTTATTTTTAATCCTTAAAAGTCTGACTGAGTACTATTATTTTATGATGTTAAATATAAAATAAACTACTTAACATAATGCTGTTACTATAAACAAGAAAAATATGTAATGGTTTCCATGAATCTAGCTAGTGTCATTTCACAAGTTCAACTGATCCTTCCTGATTAAATTGAATGATCTATGATTAAATTACCTTTCTACTAATATATAATTTTATGGTATTACTCTAAAAAATGTTGTGTTATAAGCTATCAAATTTCAAAAATAAACTTTCTTCAAAAGCATTCAACAATTCTGTACTTTACAGAAAGAAAAAAAAAAAATTTGGCTACAAGCTTTATTTTCAAATGATTTGAAATATTTGAAGTATTGCTTTTCAAATACTTTCAAAATTTCTCAAAATAAAGTGAAGAATTTTATGAAAAAGTTCAAATCCTGTAAATGATGACTTCAATGAATGTCATAAAATCTAACAGTTTACTCAACTCAACAGAGCAGATATTCCAACTAGTAAAATATTCATTATGCTTTAACCTTACAAATGCAAGTTCAGTTATACATTCATTGAAATATGCATAACTGCTATTCCAATAAACAATTTAATGATGGGTTTTAATGTCACAAAAGATGAAATCATTAATAATCAAGAGAAAAGATACAAAACCCAAGATTTCACCTAAGATGAAATCATTAATCATAATTAAATGCAGGAACAAACTTGGCAGCAAACGTGAAAAAATGATTTACATCAGTAAAATCATTACTAATTTTACCTTTATTTATTTTGCATGTAAAAATTTGGAAAGTTCCATATTAATTCATCAAAACATAAAAAATGTTTTCACTACTCAGAATGTTTCCTGAAGCAGACCATGTAAGCTATGACTTTATATTACATCCGATGCTGAAATTTCTACAATATTCTACCTTGATTTGACAAACTTTATAAGTACATGTCTAGAATTAATACTTAAGGATATAAAATCCTATAGCCACCCTTTTGTTTAATATTTAATTCCTACATCTTATTTAATATTAACAACAAAATGAACTGAAAACCCCACAAAATACAGTGCACAGTCCGAAATCTGGACGTCCAATATCCAGAATGATACAATATCAGCACCTCTGGACAATCAGCTGAATAAATAAACAAATAAAATGAACGGTCCCACCCCTTAGGAAAAGTTTAGGAAATGAGAATATAATATTCAACAAAAGGGCGCCGTAAATGGAGTTTCTCTCCCAAATGAGATTCCTGCATATCATTTTCGAGCACCTGTTGTCTAAGGAGCCCCACTCTAGCCGATAACAATACAATAATTGAGGTTACATTGTGTCTACTAGGATTCCTCTTCTGATCCTTAATTTGGCGTGCAGAAGGGGGGGAAGTCAGCACTAAGCATTTTCTTGCCTAGAACCTCCTAAAAATTGTAAAAAGTTTTTCACCATTAATTTTCGCTGCTCCACTACATTCTAAAAATTTCGCCTGCCAAATGGGGGTTAGCATTTTTATATGGCCCACCAGCGGCCGAGCGGTAATGTCGCTGAACACTAGTAGTTCGGTCCGAGGTTCGAATCCCGAGAACAAGCTAGTTGCATGGGCGTTTTCGTGGTTTTCATCATGTGTAACGCGCATACGAGCCAGTTTCCCTTAGAAAGTCCTCCACGAAGGCATCCCTCCTCTTAGGCAGATAGCCCTAGTGTGCTTTGCCATAATTAAATACACCAACACACCATTTTTATGTTATCATGACTATATGTCACATTACTAGATTTAAAACAATGATCTAAAATCCCAAAACTTCCAAAGTCCTGACCATTTTGTACTGTACAATTATTATGAACATTATGCTAATGATACTTAAACGATGCAAAAAACAAATTAAAAGTAGGAAAAGAACTTACTTCATCATAAAATATAGATGCATGTTTTCCCGATACGTAATTACAGTGCCCATAATTTGAAAAACATATATCCATGTCAGCACCTATTAAAATAGATTTCAATATATATGCATTGTTACTTAGAAAATGCCATACACTGAAATAAAGAAAAGCAAACTAACAAATTCACTGCTGACTAAATGAAAACAAAGTGTCAACATATACTTTAGCTCATGCTGGTAAGTGATAAGTAAGATTTTTACAAAAACCGACTTTTTGAAAAACCAGTTTTCGAATTCAATATTGCCAAGAAAAAAGGGTTTTAACCGGCTTTCGAATTTTTGTCCAAAAAAATAGAATAGATAAAAATATTTGATTTAATTTATATAAAATAACAAAACGAAATCAATATCAAAATATAAAAAAATTAAAGATTACATATACATAATACTTACCCAAAATAACAAAATCAATATCAAAGTCAAAATTAAAAAACATTAAGGATTATATATACATATTACTGACACAAAATAACGAAAACTTAAAGAAAAATTTCAAATAATATTTACATTACTTTCACTAATTTTAATTCCTAAAAGAAAAGAGAATTAAAAAAGAAAAAAAAAATTATCCAATGAACAGTGGCTAAGTCTTCTTATTTTGGACACAATATTGCCTGAAATTGAAAATACTCGTTCACTAGTTATTGAGCTTGGTTTTATAATTTTCAGTTCATCAAATAATAAGTTCTTTGTTCTTTTATTCATTATCTCAAATAATGAAAAGTCAGCTTTCAGTGTAATTGGATTTGTAAGTTTTTCTTCAGGGTTTTCAAGAAACTTATGAATAAGATTTTGCGATGGCTTCTTTTAAAAAATCATTACTCTGATAATCTACTATAGTTTCCTAAATTTGCTCTTCGGTAATCGGTTTCCACATAAGAATTTGGAAATATTCCAAATAACTTCATAATTTCGCTTTCTGAAGTTAAAGAAAGGACACTAGATTTCTTAGCTGAACTAGAAATGTTTTGCAGATTTTGCAAATACAGCAGAAGAGTTGCCAATTCTACTCATCTTCTTTCTTGAATTATTTCTTTTAAAGCATATAATAATTTCAAACTTATTTCAGTGTTTAAATCTTTTACTTCATTTAAGAGAAATTTAAATATATCTTCACTTGTTGGTAAATTGGCATATTGTCGCCCTAAGCCTTCACAGCTACTAGATCAAACAGTCCCACGACTGAAGTTCTAAAAGTTTAGACAGTGAGCTTCATTCCACACAGAAGAACCAATATCAATCAATGCTAAAACAACGCATTTTTTTACTGCCAGAAATGTTCCAATCATGGCATCCATAATATTCCACCTTATTTTGCAGTCAAGAACAAAAAATCAAAAAAAAAAAAAAAAAAATCTGCGCACTTTGAACTTTAACCTCTATTCTTTGAAACCTTTAATCAAATGTTGCCATCTGTTCAAATGAAGCCGAAATAAACTTCTCACGATATATATTCGGGTATAACAATACGGTGCACTCAAAAAAAAAATTAGCCTGAATAATATTCGGGCGTGACATTTTGGAATACCAGTGCTGTGCCCGAGATTCAGGCATAACAGTTAAAAGGTTAATATAATTTTGAAGAATGGTGTTTCGTACTGGAGATTTTCTAAAAAACTTACAAATTTTTCTAATTTGTAAAACTAATTGTTTGTAACTGTCAGATAAAATAGGAATAGAATGTTCTTGGTTACAAGAATAAATAAATAAAGAGAATCTTCATAATCGTTATACTCGTATTCGTACAATTCTTTGATAATAACTTCCATTTTTTATAGCAATTTTGTTGATTTTAGCACAAAAAATATTTTACCGAAGCTATTCATCTGTTACAATTTGCGACGGACTTGTGGCAAATTGTAACAGATCTGGGGAAAATAATAAAAATAACCATATTTAAAAAACATTTGATGATTATTATTACCCAACAGAATGACACTGAATGATATCAAGTGATTTGCAGTAAAACAAAGGTAGAATTATTTCACCAATCATCATCTGAATAATATCAAGTGGCTTACAGTAAAACAAAGAAAGAATTATTTTACCAATCAACATAACAGTCGGTCTTCAACAGAACTTCAGTTAACAGAAACAAATGATATGATTGCTTTCTCTCACACATTTAGAAGACTAAACTCTGCAACCATTCTTCTTCAAAAGTGTTGTAAGCATCGTTGCAAATTAAGTAAAAAGACTATTTATTTATAGCCTTTTCTTCCCAAATTTTATACCTTTATTTTTCCATTCTTTTTTTGTTTCTTATTATCTCCTCATATCCTTTATCCAATGCTTCCTTTTTGGGCGTGTCAGGTTGAATGGCAGATTTCTTTTTGCATTGGCTTCCGACTGCTTTCAAGATGAAGCCTTAAGGAGAGGTGAAATCTTTGAGGATGAAAAATCGATTTTTTATATTTTAGAAATGAAAACCAAACAGAAGAAAAGTAATTTGCATGCTTCCATTTAGAGAACAAAGTCTAACTACATGAAATAAAATTGCTGGTTGTAACATGATACAACTTGCTCCATGTAAGGTAGTATCAGACATTTTTGTTGATTTATAAAAAAATATTGCGATGAGTAAAAAAATTTAAGCAGCATTTTAAAACTTATTACATACACAAAATAAATATATAAAACCCATTTTAAATATAACAATTAACTTACTTTACACTAAAATTTATGAATCCCTCAGTAACTAACCAAAACGTGCATGAAACCTCACAGTACCCATTTCAGAAGACCGTTTACATACCCGTGCTTATGTAACAAGGCCTGTCATAAAAATCATGTTTATTGAAAATTCCAAGCGCGAATTTTAAAAACCATTGCCATTTACCCCCATTATAACTAGCTCCTAGTTATAACTACAGACAAAAGCTCATACATATGGAAATTCAATTAAAAAAATAAAAGAGACAGAGAATATCAGAGAGTACAAAAGCAATTGGTGATTTTAAAAAAAAAGTTGTTCAAAATGATTACAGAAATGCAAAATTTTCACAGTAACAAATTATCGTCACAATTAAATACTTATTTACTTTAGCAGAAAAAAGAAACATTGATTACCAAGGCCTAGGTGTAATGAACGATAACACATTGCAACAGGTAAACCTTGTTTGAGTAATGGACAAACTACAGCTCTGCCTCTGATTTCAGAAATCCCTGTTAAAAAAAAAAAAAAAAAAAAAAAAAAAACTGTTCTTTAGCCATTTATTACTATCAGTAAAAACATTTATTACAATTCATTACCATTTCTTATAATAGTTAATGGAATAAGAACACATATATATATTCAGGTTGATACACAATTTGAATTCTCTCTCATTTCTTAGAAACCAGTCACTAGATTTCCTTATGCAAAAACTCAACTACTTAACTGATTTGCCTATGCACTGTATGTGGGTCACTACTCTCTTGATTTGCCTGTTTAGCATAAGGGCTAGAAGAGTTTATGTACTCCATTAAAGTTTTGCCTGTGTTTTAGTTTCTTATTAATTAACAATTTTGTCAAAAGCAGTCTACTGAAACATGATCACCATTCTAGAACGCCCTCCCTGATTCCGTGGGAAGACATTTTCATGCGAAATACATAAATTTTCCTGAAACATAAAAGTGCTGCTGGGAATGAAATTTCATATTAATAAATAATAATGAAATTATGTTACATATAAGAAATGTATATTTTTTATATGTATGTGATAGTAAAGTGGTCCAAAGAGAAAATTTATAGAACAATTCACTAATAATCATAGCTGGAAGTTGTGTTAAATGTAACTGGAAAATGCGGACATTCTGGTGTCATCTTACTAGATGCAGCATTTGAAGAACCACAAAATCTTGATAATCCAAAACATATCTTTTATTACTTTCTGAAACTTTATTTAGACACATGGAATGGCACAGCACACTGGGGGCAATCCACACCCCCACAATTTTAACTAACACATATTATATTTTTAATAATGAATAGAAACAGCAAAAGAAGAGACATCTTTTAACTAGTAAGCATAGGTATCAAAAGATAGTGCATATATCTGGCTGTGATGTGTTTTCTGCCAAAATACGTTCTTAATAAAGTTTAAAAAAAAAAAAAAAAAAACATGAAAGCAGTACCTACATGACTACTAGCATTAAAGCAGTAATCACAGCTGAAATCTATGATTTTCTGCCAACATTTTAGTAGTTTTTCCTTATGTCCCAAACAGATCAACCTCATTTTGGACACCCTGTATATAATGGAAGGTAGCACCAGCAAGATGTAGCTGCAGATGTGAAAAAAAAGGTAGAAGTCCGAAGGAACAATATCTCATTCGAGTCTGTACAGAGTCTATTCAGTGAATGACATGTGTGGTCTTGCATGATCTTGATGGAACATAACCTTTTTCCCCCATAACTCAGTTCAATTTTTTCCTTGACAGCAGCGTTAACACAGAGTAGAACCTCGCTGTACACCTTGCTGTCGAGAGTTTTACCTTTCTCCAGATACTCTTGTGAATAATACCATGGCAATCCCACCAGATACATAATTTTTGTCAGTGAAATTGTGCTTTGCGATGCTGCTAACTGGCTCCCCGAGCACAGACCAACCCCCTTTTTGACCTGTGTTGTTAAAGTAAATCTACTTTTCATCACAAATGACAATCCGGTCCAGAATTTTGTTTTTGTGTTTATATTTGAGCAGATTAGTATGTCTGTCCTTATCTGCTTGAGTTAGCTCATGTGGCACCCAACAACTGAACATGTAGTCAAATTTATGCGAAGCTCAACATGATTAATGGACATGGCACTAACGTCTAACTCCTTAGCAAGCTCTTGAGTTGTTGCACACCGATCTTCTTCCACATGTTCTCGCTCGACCTCTTGAATATCATAGTCCTTGTTTTTGAAATTTCAATACCAAACCTTCACAGTGTCATATGATATAACACTAGTACCTATAGCTGTACACATGGATTTGGTGACATTCTGTAGCTGACTTTTGGCAACAGAACTGGAAGTAAATGATTGTTCTAATCCGGTAGCATGATGTAAAAAATCATTTGACAACATTATGTCAAACAGTGCAACGCAAATTGCGCAGACAAAATTTGCAGTGGCAGGAAACGTTTGCTAAAATCCGATATCATGGTTGAGGTACCTATAATTTCAGAGTGCTTTGTTTTAATCCTGCACAGTGATTGGTAATGAGTTTTCACATTGCACTTACTGCAGCGAAAGTGTGATGTAAAATAGCGCAACAAGAAGCCTTGAAAGGGGGATGTGTGTAATTAAAACCACAAATTTAAAAAACCCTTCCAATTAAGTTTAACTTGTTAATAATTTTTCTTCATATTTTGGATTCTTATATATATTTTAATTATTTATTTTCATGTAGCCATGAACAACAAGTAAGTAATATATATATATATATATATATATATATATATATATATATTATATATTTTTTTTTTTTTTTTTAGTTTTTGAAGTTGCTTTAAATGTTTAAATTTAACAGATTAAATTAAAATTAATTAATTTCTGAAGATATTTAAATTGAAATTTACCTCTTTTGAAGTTGAACTTTAAACGAAATTTTAATCTAAAAAATCTGAAAAATCTGATGTGTACACCACATGTCTTCCTTGTACGAAATATTAAGTTATACACATTTTTGCTGCATTTCATTTAAAGTTGCTTCCTCAAATTTCGTTAGAGATATTTTTCTCATTCAACTAATTCTAAACTCAAAATACCTTCATTAAAATTTGACAGATATAGAAAAACATAAAACACCAAATACTTTTTTTTTTTTTTTTAAACAATTAAAATTACAGTTTATACGCAAAAACAAGCAATTCGGCCAGTAGGCAAGAAGGCAGATTTTTCAGTGTCCAAAACTAAAAGTTTCTTTTTGGTCCCACTCGACAAAAAGACACTGGAGGGGCAGAAAGACATAATTCACTATAATGTTAAGTTTAAAATGTAAACAAATATGGCTGCTATGGGGAAAAAATAGGCTTAGCAGCACTTAAACAACTTTTAAACTGTAGATAATTCTACAACTACTGTATGCAGATTAACTAAAAGCATAAAAACCTTAATCAGAAGATAAGAACAGCATAATTCAATTATGTTTAAAGCAAAAAATGCACAATTTACCAACATATAAGAAAGAGTTAAAAGAACTGAGCTCACTGAGTCGAGTAGAAGAGTGGGTGTACATACATACTTTTGGTGTGGCTAATTGCAACCAAAAACGGAGGTGCACAACTACATGTTATAACAGACCTATATTAAAAATTTCAATGCTCTGAGGCTACTTGTTTTTGAGTTATGCAAGATACATGTATAAAGATATGTATGTACAGACGCAACGAAAAAATCTCTTCTGAATCCATTTTAAATCAGTTTTATAATTGGTTTGGAGAAAAAGAGTCCTTTTATTCTGTCCTTGCTTACAGGTGTCACGCAAAAGCATCATTAAATTGCACTCGACAGTGGTCAAAATGGATATTTTCATTGAAATATGATACCCCATATTTATAGTGATTACAATACTTCCTTTACTTCATACAAGGAAGTAAAAAGTGACATCTTTTGAATCAGTACAGGAAAAAAAAAAAAAACAGGCGAACCAAGCACGGCAGAAGGGAAAAAAAGTATCGGTGTATTCAACAGCACCCACTTTCTTGGAACCAGTGCACTCGGTTTCCACACCTGACAGGACTGTCTCCAAGGATTTATGACCTGCATGGTTAAATAATCTATTTAAGTGTTATGTCTGAAAGGCAAGTTTTACCTAAGCGCAGTGCACAGAATATGTGAAATGCCATTACAAACATTCCCTGGGACAAATTAAAGCAAGTCAAACTGAGTGTGATTTATTATGCCAAACTGTGCCCAGACCATAACAGTCAATGTTTCCCATAACAGTACCCATAGAGTAGGAACTCTTATAAATAGTTAACTTGTCTTTCTCACATAATATCACCTTAGAGTTCATGTATTTTTCACCTGCTTAGAGTTCAATTTATCTTCAGCCACCATTTATAACAATCAGAAATGTGAATCAAGTGGCATTAAAGATGCCTGATCCAAAGCAAGTCAGATACTTTCTGACCAAATCATGAAAATCTGATCCAGAAAATATGTTACAACTATCTTTTAAACATATGATACAATTTATACAGGAGAGGGAAGTCTTTAATTATAGAAATAATAACTTCCTGAAAGCAATATATTATCATAATGTGCTATGATCTAATATATGCAGATGTGAATCCAATCCCATTACAAAAATTCTGAAAAATAGTGTGCAACAAAAATTCTGATTAATTTCAGAAAATTTCTTAATATTATTCTGAAACACTTACATACATGCATACAAATTTATTTTCAAACTGCCTGATCAGTAAAGCAAATTTAAAAAAAAAATTAAGAAATTAATTTATGTTTCACAGCATCATTCATACAGTTGCCCAAACTGGTTGCATTTGGAAAATCAAAAAGGCAAGTGCTTGGAAAAGTGCAGAATGGATATCTGTTACCTGGAAGAAAGTTTCCAATAAGACTATAATACATTCTTTTAAAAAATGTTCCATAACAAATGCATTGGATGGCTTGGAAGGTGACACCGTGTGGGAAAACGGCCAAGCCAGCACCAGTTCCGAAGTCAGCTGTGACAGTGGGAGTGACGAATCATTTTCAGAAAGTGATACTGATGGTTAGAGCAATTACATGTTCATGTATGTATTTAAAATTTTTTAATACTGGTGAAATGAAATAATTATTATTCACTTATTAAAAGTTTTCATCCTAATTTTTTTTAATTTCATAAATATCGGATATCGATAAACCTTTTTATATTACTTTTATTTTTTTACAAAAATGTTTAGAATTTGGGGTGCAGGCTTAGAATTGATGGTGGCTTAGATTCAAATAAATACAATACCAATACATGGAAATATTGTCTTCTTATATTATTAATTCTGTTAGTTTTTATTAAAATATTATTATGGATGAAACACAAGAGAAAGGGAACAGAAAATAGCACAACAGAGAAGCCTTCAAATCAACAGTGACTTTACTCAGAAGCAATAGCTGTTAAGAAGAGAATGGTGAATCATAAGAATGCAATAATTTATTAGAGATTTATATGTAAATATGCAGTTATTTGTAACCTTTATGTTAATTTTATTGCTATTAAAAGATAGATAATTAAGTTTTGAGCCAACTGTTTGCTGATGGAGTGTGTTGAACTATTTAAAACTAAAGAGAGGTTCAACAAGAAGACTCTATGACTAGGATAGCAGATAGACAGATAAGTCTTTTTTTTTTTTTTTTTTTTTTTTTTTTTGCTTAAACCTTGAAGTTGTTCTAGCCATAATTTTTTTTTTGGAGAGGAGGGGACGTATTACAATAATACTTCTTTGGTTACTACAAATTCCAATTCTTACACCCATTTTCTTTCGACAAACCTTTTGTAATTAAAAGTATTCTCATTTAATATCATAAATTTCACTTTACTTTACCTTTTTTTAAAGTTTAATGAAAATCAAAATTTTATAGCATCAAATTTAGTTTGGTTATTATTAAAAAGAATAAACATTACAACAAAATCAAAACACAAATTTCTCTAATATGACTATCTACAGTTTAATGTGCAGTTTGTTAATACCATAGCAGTTCAAATTTACAAGCCAGCTACAAAGACAAATAATTTATAATGTAAATAAAGGAATACTAATAAAAATTTACCTCCCGCTTAATTTTCTGAAATTATGTGAGCAGGTAAACCAAAATTACAAAAACTTTCTATCTTAAATTTCATCTAAATTTCAAAAATACTTCCTTCTTTTTAAGCAGGATTGTATTATTTCTTTAAAAATAATACATGAGATAACATTCTGTTGTGTGCATGTGGGTTCATAACAGACTGAACGATGATAGGTTAATAAAATTTATTTTAACAAAAGAAACACTTCAGAGTTCTGGAACTTTCCACGAAAATGCTTGTACAGGCATTCACAGTATCACATAGTTGTCAGTAGTGACACTTCAAACTACTAAATATTAAACACAATGCCAGCAAAGTGCATCTAAAAGGCGAAGCTTCCAATACTCCAAAGATGCTCTGAACTAAAAACTCCCAACAACAACTGAGATCTGATGCTCTCTTATATAAGTTTTATCCAGCCACCAAGATATTTCTAGTACTTTTTGCTTCTTGAAATAACTGGAAGGCATACCAGTCCCAGAAACGGTTACAGGTAATACAGTGATCAATTATAGTTTTTCAGTTACAAGTAATACGGGGATAATAGTTATAGTAATATGGGGACTGGACAAAAGTGTTACCAGATTTGAGAAATTTGGCAATAAAAATTAATCGTCACAACTGCTTCCAACCTGGCGATATCTCACCAAATTAGTAAGACAGCCATTTACTAAATGTTAAATAGACTTGCCCCTGTATTATTATTTTTCCAGTAGAGCATCCTGTCTCCAGATTTTCGTGTTACATTATACAGAAAAAATAAAACAATTTCACAAATACTTTTATAAAACTATATAAGTATGTACAAAATTTGTAACAATTATTTTTCTTGAAAAGTGAGGACTAAAACTGATTCTGCTGTTAAAAATTGAAAAACATTATGGGTAAATGATAGAAAATGGAGTCTCCGTAAATTTTTAAGTCTTAAAAAATTAGCAGCAAAGAGGGGCTTTGGAGTTAGGACCCTTCATCAAAACCGAGGCTTCTTACAAATATGAAATACCTCCAGGAAACACTTACATTGCCATATGAAAACATTTTTCAAATGTTGCAGAGAAATGGGAAATACAACCAGCTGTGGTGGGCAATAGAGAATTTAGGAATTTCTTTTCTCCACACATAGGTCTTGGTTCAAAATTTCAAATTATAAAAAAACCAAGAGTTTTAAAAAAATGCAGAAAATACACCAAGAGTTAAAAATATTTACCATCTGCAGTTGAATCACCAAGTAATTTCTCTTCCGTTGAAACATATTTTCTTTTGGGAATAAGCTGCTGTAACCTTTGATATGCTAAAATATGAAGAAGCCTCTCATCCAGTTTGTTTACTTCAATATCTAAAAAAGAAGGGGGTATTAATTCATTTTATAATACACACCGTCTTTTCTGAATAAATATATAAAATGAATTTTATTAACCTTTATATAAACTTTGCATATTCATACAGCAAGACAAGTCTATAAAAGCATACTTAAATGCTTCAATGAAAATTACTATAAAAGCGCTGTTTATTAAAAAACTGAATATGTAAAACATTACAAAAATAAAGTTAATGCAGTGCATGTTTCACATTACTTCATATTTTGTCATTAGTTTTGCACCAAAATTAGGCCAAATAATAATAGTATAATTGTCTATAAAGTAATGTAATCTGCACTAATGAGATCGGTATGGGCCTGTTTGTTTGTGACATCATCTCCTTCGGAAAGGTGGAGAGTTGAGTTTCGAGAGAGGTATTTCCGGATTCTGAAAATTCTTGGGAAGCCAATTCAACCATTCTCATCTTTGTATGACTTTAATCAGCAGAGATATTAATTAAAAACTCTGAAAGCATTAATTTTCACACTCATTTGTTCTGAGTCGCAACAGTCTTGTAAGCTGGAGATAAAAACACTTTATTTCGAAAAAGGTTGCCATCGCTTGCTTTCAAATCATAGAATTAGTTAATAAAAAAATTTAAGTTTTATGAAATATGAAATAAAAATAGCATTGCCAAACATTAAATATTTTATCACTATATAAGGTCATATTCTGATGTCGAAGAAAGCATGTGACCGCATGCGACATCATTGTATGTCAAAAATTTTTAGTTAATGATAGCATTTTAAATAAAAAGCTGCTATTGACAACTTTTTTGTTTCAAGTTAAGATAACTGACATATATTTTGTTTCAAGTTAAGATAAATGACATTATAATAAACTTAACAGTTTCTTGCCGACTTAATTATTAAATTTAAATTGTGATGTCATATGTATACCTGAAGTTTCAAAAGTTTTTGCTTCCCGATTCGACAACAAACAAATTATTCATGAACTGGTTGTTGCTTGGAAAGAATGTACTGATTTCATTCATATTGAAATGATTTTATATATTTTCTTTTTAGGAGTACATAGAACATTTGCTTTAGCCGCAGCCTACTCATCAGGTGGGCTTGCTCGCTACTGTACAGTACTAATACTGCATTTCTTGTTTAAAATACTAAAAAGGCTACACATTTATTTGATCTTGTCTGGGGTTAAAACTTTGAATTTCATCAACATCTCTCCCCTTCCCAGAATATAAATTTTAAACAAGTAATACATAAACTATTCATTCTCACAATATTTCAAATATTTTCCACATTATTTTTTATGTTAAATTGCAATTAAGATTATTCATACATATTCCAGTGCAACAATTAAAGGAAAGGTTATACTAGTCTTATATTGAAGTTATAATAACATCTTCAAGGGAAGGAAAATGTTAAATCCAAGATAGGTTATAAAAAGTTCCACCTTCTTATATAAAAATGTAATAAAGATGAGCTGTAAATACAATATTCTTGAAAAAAATTCTAAATACTATTCAAATGCATACAGCTAATAAGAAAGTTATACAGCCTTACTGCTTTATAGACGAAGGTATGTATAATGTAAACAAGCAGTTCTTGAACTACGGTATACATACTTCCAGCAGTAAGCAAATATTTATGCTTCGCTTTCTTTTAAATTTTAAACAAAACTAAAATATGCTTTTTTGCCAGAAGTTTTTTTCAGGCTGTTGACCATGCTTTTATGATGCCTTTCTCAACAATGTGTTCATATGAAAATACATGATATATTTTCGATGTTTTTTTATATGAACACCTACATGGTATATTTTTATAAATAGCATTACAAAAAAATATTGTAACCAGATTGTTTTATTTCATTGACTGAGAGAAAATTACATTAACCCTATTAGCGACAAAGCCGTATATATACGGCCTTGTCGCTTAGAATATTTAGCCTAGAAATATAGGCCTAGAATATTTTTTGTGATATCTAAGACCCTATATATACATGCATATTAAAATATGTCAAAGAAATTAAGGCAATATATCAAAAGAACAGAAATCCAGGTATGGAATACCAGAAGAGTTTTTACATTAAAATAAAAATAAAAAAATTGTTCTCATAGTAGTTTTGGGAAATTTGTGCTTTCTTAGCGAAAACTCTGGCCGCTCAGAGGGTTAAGATAATAAAAATAAAATTATTAAGTAGCTTTAAGGTACCTTAGGGAAAAAAATGTTTTTAGAATATTACAAAAACTACTTCAGGCAGTCAAAAATGTTTCTAAGATATTTACCTTTGTTTTCTAATTTTATTCTGCTTAAAAATTATATTTGAAACATAGCAGACAACAGAAAAATATAAAAATTCTTAAAATTAAACACAGGTATTCAATTTTTAACTAATTTTCACATAATTCCTTTTTACATTAAATCACTTCCTTTTTATTGTATTTACATAACATTTTTTACTGTGAAAAAATATATAATAATAAATAATTTAAGCCAATTTAGCATTAAGTACATCAATTAATTAATTATTAATGAATTTCCACATTTGCAAATAACATAACCACAATCCATTAATTTTAAAAATTTGCTCGCTTCCTACAATCCCAGGGTTTAAGAAACGGATTAATATAAAATCTAAAACTAGCAACAACAAAAACTACAACCTTAGTATGTCATGGTCCAGAATATAATATTTAAAATATAAAATCCATAATGTTAAAAATTACCTTCTGAACCTTCAAAATTGGCTTGAAGATTGTTAAAAAGTTTTGTTAAAATTTGTGGGCTGGCATCACAATTACTCATATGTAGTTTATCTGAAAATTGAATAAAATCAAATTATGGCATAATCCAGTTGAATAATTATAAAGTGATACAAAAATATGTAGTTCTTTATTAAATGGAAATATAAAACCTAAAAGGTAAATTTGAATTAAGTTGCTTAGATAAAGTTAGTACCTTTCACTAATGACTTACATCAGAAAAAATTTTGAATTCATTTGAAACACATTTCCTTTACATTTAGTCAAACCTCACTATAATGAACTCTCAAGAGACTGAAAGTTTGGTTTGCTATATCCGATCTGATAAGAAAAAATAGATCAACTGTACAAAAATGGATTGATGAATCACTCAGAAAAAGCAATTAGCATTGTCACATCTCCGAAAAGATATTACAGCAACTTTATTTATTATTATTTTTTTTAATATTACAATTATTACTAAGTGCAATTACTACACTTATTTTTCACTACTTTTAATTTCACAAAAAAATTACTTAGGATAAAAGTCATGTCCCTCAATTGCACATTTCCATATAAAATATATTTTTACATGAATAAGCATCAACCCAAAATGCAGTTCTGCCTTACAGCTCAATCAAAGAACTGATTCAAGCTCTTTGGCTCAATATGTGATACAGTAGGGTCTTCAAAGGTGTATGTATTGTTTCCAAGGATTGAGTGCTACACCTGCCTCATTCACTTTTTTATTTAGAAGACAGAAAATAGTGAGGCTGTTGACCATGCTTTTATGGTAGCTTCAAATGTATATTTATTGTGTGTCCTGATTTTTCAAGGATTGAGTGCTACACCTGCCTTGTTCAGTTTTTAATTTAGAAGATGGAAAAAAAAGATGGAAAACAGCAACCTAAAGGTGTCTTTTATTATTCAAACCCATTACACAGGATGAATGTAAGGGTTAGTAATTTTTTGGTTGAAAACTGCAAAAATTGCAGGAAAAAAGTTTGAAAAACACAAACAATTTTTGCTATAGAAAATTGGACATGACCAAGAAGTTCATTTGTTGTACCTTCAAGTTGGGTTTGCAAGAGAAGAAATTTGACTGTTTAAAATTTATATACATTACATCCACCTCTTAAAAATGTTCACAAAGGCCTGCAATGCATAACTTAAAAAAAAAAAAAAAAAAAAAAAATTGGAACAATGTTATTTAAAATGAAGTAAATCCAAAATCTGTAGACAAAGTGCAATAGCAAACATGAAAGAAAAGCTTCTGCAAATTTAAGTATAAAAGCAGCAAGTAGACATGCAATTTATACAGGTAACTAACTGTGACTACATGACACAACACTAAAATCAAATTACCCTAGCTCTGAGTAGATCCACATTTATACTGATGACTCTGCATGTAAAAAAAGTACTGGTACTAGATTGTACTGTGACGGATATTTTGGAAAATCCTATGCTTTTGGTCTCAGTGCCTCTAACTTCGAAGCATAGATTTTTTTCCATGGGAAAAGCAATTTAAAATCTTCTCGGACTTGATACTAACTTAGGCAAAGCAGTTATATGCTGCAATTATGGCAGCTGTCTCCTCCTAGTGATTACTTTCTTGTTGTATCCATAGCAATTACCTCTCACTGAGAGCTTGTTTTTAATGAATTCCCAGACACTGTGGGGTGCTTGGAAACAAAAAAGCCGATCTTTTAGCAAAAAATGGCTATAAGCTAACCCAGCCACATTTTCCTCTATCCAGCCATCACTTTTAGTTCTGAGGTAAAGAAGAAAATACCCCACTCTTAAAACAAAAGTATAAACTCCTTTCAAATGATAAAGTGTGAAATACTCTTGCATATTTGCCTATCCCAATGGACATGCCTGTGCAGATTTTATGGCAAATTTTGGTATCTTGTATATTGGAAGAAAAAGAATCCAGGTTATAAAAAAAATTCCACTCATTCCTGGCGTTTAGGGAAACAAAGTATTCACAGTCAACCCTGTAATGTTCGGAAGATTAAAGCAACATACACAAAATAGCTATTCAACTACAAAAAAACTAAGAAATAAAGCACTGATACCAATCTTATGAAGCTGATTCAATATATACAATTAACTGTACTCCTGATCAATATTCCTGTGTGATTATGTATACCTGTGAGGATGGAGTTATAAACATGGTATGTCATATTGATCATTCTCTCCCAAAATGAGTTATATGTCTACTGTGCATACAGGAACATCATTAAATGGTCAAACACATAAATGCAATCAGATTTCTGCAACTAAAAGGCCCACTAATTCTTGATATCCACTGCCAGTTTGCAGAACAATATGAAGCTAATGTTATGCCATGGAAAGAGGCATAATTTCAGTGCAAAGGTTTCAATAATGGCAAGACAGACATGTAAGATGAACAGCAATCTAAGTCGCCAAGCATGTCCACAACAATCTGTGCTGCACTGAAGGTCTGATTCAGGAGGTCAGATGCATTTGATTTTGCAACAGAATTAAATACTTCTCTAAGAATTATCTGCTGTAAAATAAATTTTGAAAGAGAAGGAAATGGATCTGACATAAAAGCATTATCACACTATGGTTTTCTATGGTTTTCCTGCCTCTACCATTAGACGAATGCCTTCAATTCCAATTAGCAGCTGACCACTGCGTTACCTCTTACCACCACATTCAGGCCACTGTATTCATAGGCAGAATTTCTTAGGGGTCATAATCTCTCCCCCTAACCTCTTCTATTTCTCTATATTTATTTCTTTTTATATATCTATTTTTTAAATTTTCTTTTTCTTATCTTTTCAATTGCTTCCTTGTTAACCCCCTTCCTGCCCGTCCCTCCTTCTCCTTTTCACCTGGCCGCCTGCTGGCCCCCTGGCGCTGACGTATTTTGCTCAGGTTGTGGCCAACAACCCTTTTCCCCTCGTCAAGTTTGTTGACTACAGGCCCCCGATCTTTTCATTGCTGCGTCTATTCCTCCCACCTTCATTCAAGTCAACATATTAAATCCATCCACACCAATTCCCTTTGGCATCAAGGTGAACATGTTAGGGTGCAGAACTATTCCGTCTACCCAACTTTCCTGGTCTAGATGTCCCCCTTCCCCGCCCATCCATTGGCTACTCCATCTCGGCCCCTCCGCCGACTACTATAGCTTCTTCCCCTATTCTCCATCCGCCACCCCGCCAAACCCCACCCCGTGCACCTGACCTGCTTCGGTGTCCCCTGGAAAGACTGTTTCGACCCCTCGCACCTCGACGTCTCCCCTACCCTGCCCCTATCCTCCTAAGGCTAGTTACCCCGTTCCACCACGTTACCGCAAGAGCGGGCTCTTGTTCGCTTACTTGCCCCGCCCCACCCACTATCTCCACACCCGTAGATTCCCCCCTTTCTGGCCCCCCTGTCAACTGACCCTTGGGCTTTCCCCGTCGTCTCTAACCCCCGGTGTCTGGCAACTTAACCTGGCGTAGGCTGTGGCTGCCGGCTTGGTTTGGAGAACACTGATGGGTGTTGAGCCCTTTTCTTTACCCCCCGATGTGCTTTTGATGGCGTTTTCTGCGTTCTTGCACGCCCCCGTATTGGGCTTCCTGACCCGGGACCTTTCCCCCGCTGAAATTCCATTTCCTGCTGCTGCTGATAACACACACGACGAGTTAGATTCATATTCATCTTTACACTGGGCTCCATTGTAGCTTCGCTTCTCCCTTTGTGGATGGCCCGCCCCCTGGGGCCCACTGCCCCCCGTAGTTATTAGCCTGATTTAGGATCGACTGTTCGCACTCATCGTACTATCAGATGAAATATCGTTATTACTATCTAACGCTCCGCCCCCGTTGCCTCTGACTTCAGTGACATATGCAGATTGCCCATGCTTCGCCCCCCTTTGTTTGAAAGCCACCACCCTGGCAACGCCCTGTGAAAGATTACAACTATGAATATTAATATTGCCATTTTAGAGGCACAAATTATCTCCCCTAAAACAGTACCCATATCATGAGTTATTTTTAGAGGGAAAATACTGAAAATTAAAAGGAATTCTATTTTATTGATAGGACCTTTGACATAATAGCCTAATTCTGAGGAATTGATGTAATACAAATGTCTTTTATAAATTTACATTTCAGATTATGCTTTATAGCCCAGTAAATTTAAGACTGAAATCTGAACCCTATTTATACAAATCTATACTATTTAACTATAAATCTTATAGCTGTTTATTTAGTTTAATGACCCCCCCCAAGTGACTATACTATAAATACAGTGGTATAGAAAAAATTACTAACTTCGGTTACATATGCATCATAAACCTCTTCGCACACTCAACAGAATTGACTCCAATACACCAAACTCAACTAACTATATCTCCGCACCCGAGTAAATACGTTCCAAAAATCTTTTTTTAGTCCCCCCCCCCGATGATCAACAGAATTATATGCGTTAAAAGAGATTAAAGGGCTGGTTAAATAAAGAAAATGGGCGATCGATCACTTGAATTTTATGAGGAATTAAGGGATTAATCCATTCCATATCTTTAGATGTATACCACTCACACTTTTCCATGAGAAACCTTTGATGTGGGACACTACCTGACTTTCCTTGTTAGCCCTATTATACCCCACATTTTTGATGCATTTCCTTTAACTTATTTATAGAATTTCAATAGAGATAATTCTCATTCAATTCAGTTCTCATGCAAGGGAAAATACATCAACCTCAGAGCCTCATTTACTTGTGAGTACATCAGAAAACCTACAAGCTACACAATTTTAGAGTTACTATGTAAAAACAAGCAATTCAGCCAGCAGGCAGGAAGACAGATTTTTCGGTACACAAAATTGAAAGTTTACTTTTGGTCCTACTCAGCAAAAAGACACTGAAGTTTGTGCACAAACTGACTTAATTCACTACTGTCTATGAAGAGAACAACTCCCACCATAGTGTTTGGCAGTCACCATAGCAAGTACCCTAGCTAGTATATTATTATATAGCTAGTATATTTCAAGTAATAGCGAACCAAGAGAATGCTTTTTTTGGGAGGATAACTGATGGCTGAGGGAAAAACAGTTTACAATTTGTCTAGTTGGTTTCGTCCCAATTGCAGGTGTCTTTTCAGCTTTATATTACCTTTATTTATTCTCCTTGTTATTCCTTTTGTACTGTTATTTGTTAAAATTTTTATTTATTTATCTTGCTTTTAGTAGTGCACTAATAATCGCCATTTTTTACAAATGCTCTTCCAGTTTAAGATATGTCAACCTTTCAAATCTCAGACACATCAAATCATGTATAATATTGCAGAATAAATATAATATTGCAGAATTTTGTGCTTCTGATGCTTCAACAAACTCTCTAATAGTTCCTCTCGCTCAAACTTTAAAGAGACCATCTCAAGTTACTGGAATATTGTAGTAAACAATCAAAAAAAATTAAGCATGAAGAATCGACAATGGGTGAAAATCAATTTCTAAGTACACCTGGAAAGAACCGTAAAAGATCTACCGATCAAAACTGCAAAATTGATCATTTTGTTAAATGTGTTGTACGGCAGACATACGGAAATGATTGCTTGTGTTAAGGGCAGAAAAACAGATTTCTCGTGGTAAAAAGACATTTTGTGTACAGTTTTGTGTTCAATCAATTTTCCCTGGAAGAAATACATGAATAAAAGAAAAATTGTTATTAAAAGTTCTGATATTGTATTTTAGAGGATTAGTTATTTGCAAGAAACAAGGAAACTCAAGGAAGGTGAACACCACATCCTTTACAATGACAAAACATGATAGACAGCAATTTAATGTTTAAGAAATGTTAACATGATATGGTTTTTGGTACACAAATGAATGTCAATTAAAAAAATAGACTAATTGTTGTCCATGCTGGCTCCTCTGCAGGATTGTTCTGTTTTTATGTTCCCATCCATGAAGGTATCCCTCTTCTTCTATATATGTTGATATATCCCTCTCTTGTTCTGCAATAATCAGATAAGCCAAATCAAATCTCTCAGATATTAGGAGCAAACCAGAGAGAAGATATATTCAAATTGTGGCTGCTGAGAACTTAATGGATAATATTTCTAGATTCAGCAACTTATTTGCCACAATATAAATGAAAGATTACCAAAAGTAACAATGAGCCTTCGGCAGAAGCGAAACACCCCTTTGTTGATAATAAGGAACACTGTATGGTTATTTTATTTCCCATTATTGTGTTCTTGGGAACCCACATGCCATGGCATACTTTGCATAAAAATGAATCTTTAATGAAAATTAAGTAAGTTTCATTAAAAATATTAATACAAAATTATGTTAATGCTACAAATGCAACTAGTTATAAAATCCAAATTTTGTATAATTTTAAATATAAAACACATAACTGAATAACTTTAAGATCTTAACTTTGTTTTCTGATTTTAATATTTTATTATGTTACTCTTCATTGCAATGTCTTTAAAAACCAGCACAATACGTAAATGGAAACTGGTAATTCAGATAACAGCAGTTTTGATTTTAACTCAACTTCCATATTTGCTTTCCCATTAGGACCAGCTTTTGATTCAGTCTGAAGTTATGAGAAAAGAAATAATGTTCATAAAAAGTATTTAATGAGAGCATGATATGTAAATAAACACTTTTACTTTCAGATGCTTCCATATCCATTTAATGATGAAATTCAACTAAATTGTAATGACAAAATTCAATTAAATACCAACTAAATTCAGATCACAGTGACATTAATAAGGAAGAATGCTTTGTATTTCAAAGTTTCATTTCCATTATTTTATTCTAAAATACGATCTCCAATACAAATTCTAAATATTGTAATACTATTCTGAGCTTTCCTCATAACCGTTGCAAGCACTGCTGGTTGTAAGAAAAGTTTTCTAAATGAAAATCTTTTCGAAAGTATTTTCAAATTATAAATGTTATTTTGCATTTCTGAAATGTGTCTATACTAAATTACAGAAAATGGGGCGATCAATTAGACCACTAAAATCTCATCGATGGCTCTGCAAACAAACAAACAAAAAAGCAAAACAATAGCATTACTTTAAAATGTTGGAATTAAAATTTTTCTTTAAAAATAAGTAGAGTTTAAATTTATTTCCCTATTCTGATATATTTTTACTCATTTGTACATCAAGAACAACAGCAAATTCAGCTACTGCCTCAAGTGGCAAAATCAGACTGTTTCTCGCTGCAAAAGCTATCTACACTGAATGTTCATTTTCAAAAATTGGATGTTGGGATTCACGACAAAGGGCAATTTGCCTTTTACTTAAAAATGAATATCACCAATTTATCGTTAAATGCACCAATTTGGCAAACTGAAAAGTAATTCTTCAAGAAACCCCTACGAAAAATTGGTTATGGCTCATTTCTACGATAAAAGACACCTGCAGACTAGCTGGCAAAAGTATTTCTTCTGACAGACAGCCAAACTACTAAGAGTTTCAAATGTAAACAAATGACAGCCTCGTTAGTCTTAACACCATTTACACTTTTAAATTATTGACAATTTTACAACTATTACATGCAGATTAACTTAAAGCATAAAAACTTGAACATAATAATTCAATCCTTTCTAAGCAAAAACTGCATTATTTACCAACAAATAAGAATAAAAAAAAATTGAGCCCACTGAGTAGGATAACAAGGCATACTTTGCATGCATGCATGCACACACATAGATACCATGAAAAAAATCTCTTCTGAATCCTTTTTGGAAAAAGAGTCCTTTATTCTCCCATACATACAGACGACATGCAAAAACTTCCTTCAAATGGATTCCAGAATTGAAATATGATACCCGAAATCTTTCACATTTTTACTTCATACACGAAAGTAAAAGGATAATAATTCATCCAGTCTTATAACAAAATACTTTTGTTTTAACACTGTTTAATACTAAAATACCATTACAGTAGATGAAATATACACTGTACATAAATTAAGCACTACACGATTTGTTACGTATGCTTTCTTTTTTCTATCTAAATCAAAAACAATTTTTCAACATGTTTTAATGTCTCTGATCTTTCTTTGGTAATCAATTTCACCTCCTCACAACGTTAGTCAACTTAAATAGCATCTTTATTTTCTGAAATCGTAAACACCATCATAGTAAGCCATACGGTGTGCAATGCCAAGTCCCAGATATGCCATCTTCATACCTTTCAACAATCTCTTTTTCACATCCATGGTGATCCTAACATTTTCATTGCTGCTGACTTTTCTCATTAATTTTCTGAAACTTACTGCTAATGAATTTACAAAAAAATTTACAGAAAAAAAGCACTAAATCACAGGTAAATTTATTTATAGTGTGGGTTGTTCAAATTTTAATTAAGTCCATTTAATTTTTCTTTACATGTGGACTATTTTCTGATTAAATAAATTACAGGGTTTCTTCCATGTTCAAAAGCTATTGTTTATATTCTTACAGGCATTACTTGACTGGAAACAAATTATCATAATGACAAGTCTTAAAATGGTTAAAATAAGCCTTTTATTTAACTCTTAAATGAACAGAAAACTCTACTTAGGTGATAGACGAATCCCCGCTACTTGCAGATATTTAAAATTGCATGTGATAAACTTAAATTCAAACGTAGTTAATGCAGTCCAAGACACACCAGACTATTTAAACTGGTTCAAGATAATTATTAGTGTATATTTTAAACGTTGGCTAGAAAGATACTAAAGACGGGATAAATCTTTAGCAGAACTGGTGATAGCAAGTAATAGCAAGATGAAGGTGACAAAAGCTCTTAACTCTAAACATTCCAACCCTTGTCTTAAATACACAACTAATTTGCACTCCGATGAGGATTATGGAAAGAAAAGGTTATCATAAAGGTTCAACTCATAATAACTTCAATAATTAAAAAAAATCGTAATAACTTAGCTACTTAACATAAAATCTTCAAAATTTTAGATTAATAATTTTCATCAATAAAAAGAACATGCTAAAGAAAATAATGAACAAGCAACATAATTTATCACTACACTTCACTAGAAATAAAAATAAATGATTAAAAACCAACCTCATTTTGCTCATCCGTAGAACAGACAGCAGAAAATGACATAAGAGATAAACCTTCGTTTGAAACTGAAGGTTCGGTCACACGTGGAAGTAATAATGGAGGGCAACTATAATGTTCAGCTACAGCATTTGGAACCTTAAATTACACACAAATAATTTAATTAGCAGTCACTTTTCATGTGATATACAGAGGATCACAATATATTCAGTCTACCGAAAAGATCTATCCGTTTTTGGAATCACACAAAATAAAAATTTTTCTTACTGTCAATAAACTTTATTAAATAATATATTGCCATTATTATTAATGACTTCTTGCCAGCGTGAGGGCAATTTGTATATCCCATTTTTGGAAAATGTGTCTTTTGATGTGAAAAATTGAACTAATGCTTTTTTGATAGCTTCTCCATTTTTGAATGTTTTGCCCTTCAAAAAATTTTGTTAAGGACAAAAACAAATCATTTTCAGTGAGTCCTAACAAATCATTTTCAGTGAGTCCTAAGTCTAGGAAATATGGTGGATGTGATAGAACTTCCGCAGTTTTTTGACAACTCCCCAAAGTAGCATGTGGCCTGGCATTATTATGATGCAATATTATATACTTACTACTGAACATTGGTGGCCTCGTTTCTTGGACTGCTATCTTTAAATTATCCAGTTGCTGACAATACTTCTCCAAAATGAGCTTTTCGTTGGGTTTTAAAAGATCATAATATATTGGTCCTCAAATGTCCCACCATATACACAGCATTCTTTTATTCACAGTCAAATTTGGTTTAGAGGTGGAAGGGCTAGGTTTTCCGGGCTCACAACATACCCTTTTCCTTATGATGTTTTCGTAAGTAATCCACTTTTCATCCTCAGTTATCATCAAGTTCAAGAAGGGCTCAATTTTGTTTCGATTAGGCAGAGATGTGCATATGACAACCCTATCATCCAAATTCTTCTGACTTGATTCATGTGACACCCATCTTGAATATTTCCACACCAATCCTATCTTCCGAATCTGGCCCGAAACGGTTTGCTGAGCTAAATCAAGCCTCTCTGCCATCTCCGATGCTGTCGGAAAAGGATCTCGCTCCAATATGGTCTCAACGACATCATCGTCGATCAAAGATGGTCGCCCAGAACGTGGCTTATCAGGAAGGTCGAAATCACTTTTTTCAAATTTTTCAAACCATCTTCTGTGTGTCCTATCAGAAACTGCACCTTCACCAAACACTTTCAATAAATTTCTACCTGCTTCTGTAGTTCTTCCTTGTTGGAATTCATATGAAATACAGTGGCGTAAATGAACTTTATCAGTAGCCATGGGTACACTATCACTTCACAAAGACTCATTTGAATCAACTTTGTTTTTTAGTTAATTTGCTACATTAGTATACATACATTAAGTGATAAATATAGAGAGCCGAACATACGCCAAATAAACATGCGCTTACATACCAAAAATTGTTGTCATCGAAACGGAACAGAACTTTCCGGTAGACTGAATATATGATTTTCATTCATATATACATACAATTACTTTCAAAAAGCTACACAGAATTCTTAAATGTTCATATGAAACTAAGAGCATACAAATTAGGTGAATAACAATGAATTATACCACAAAAAATTTTAACGATATCTTTAAATCTTTGATTATACCCATAAGGTATTTTTATTTAAGTATCTTTTACTTATTTAAAACACACATAACGAAATCATTTCCAGGTCAGTAAAATTAAAGTTGCCAGTTACGTTATATAAGTTATGGGTATTATGATAATATTGTATATTAGTACCATATGTTTACAATATAATTCCTCAGCTCTGGGCATTTCTTTTGCAAAGTGTCTTGTTGTTTCATTAGATGCTGACAGTCGAGCCTCCACCAAGCCTAATCGGCACCGTCGTGCATTGTCTAGCGCGCGCCTTTATGTAGTGACGATATTAAAGAGACATTGCTTATGGTTAATATTTAAAATGCAGCATTATTAACATAATAATATGAAAAATCAAAAATTACATTTTATCTTTTGTCTAAATGTACAAACATTTTGTGCTTTGTTAAAATCCACACTCAAACATTTATTGAAGAATCATACATACACTTATATTATAAAAAGACGCCCAACTGGTAGAGTGGTTAGCGTTGCTGACTGCCATGCTGAAGAACCCGGGTTTGAGTCCCAGAGAAGAGATGGATGTTTTTAAATCTATACTGTCCGTGCGGCATGGGGGAACTCTAAATATGCCAGGCGAAAGTCCTCTTAAAAGGTTGGTGGTAGGGAAAGAAGGGTGGGAGATGCTCAGACTCGTCCGGGCAGGGTGCTCTCTATCAAAATTGAAGGCGAAACTGAGCTAAACTGCACTGTTACCAGTAAAACCCTTATCACATACGATATTTGTTGCCGGAACAAAGGTTTGGTGGAACAGTTCTGAGAAACGCTCTTGGGCAAAATAGGGTTACCATCTTCACTTGGTAAACAGGCTGAAAGCCAAACAAGAATCAGTTATCGCTCAGATTGGCGAAAGCGACGTTTCCTTTCAAGTGACGTTTGCTTCTTCGTGTTGTTTGGTATTGCTCACACTCTTTTCGTTTTAAACTTTATTGTTAGTAATGGAAGATAATAGAAAGGTGATTGCTATCAAGTTAATCACCTTGATCTCCACTCTGGCACTTCAAGTAACAGATAAACACACTTCTGGTTACAGCAATCAATTACATCAGTAATAGCCAAATTCTGTATACACTAAAAATAGTTTAAAAACGTGTGTGCTGGATTAGTCTGTTTATCAGACATCACTTATATGTATTTTCTGATGTCTGCATTTCAATAAAAAATTTGATGGCTCAATGGAGAAATTTGTGACCTGGTGGAAAGCATTTTCCTGACTAACTTTATGGCTCATAATTACTGTTCTGTCCATTCAAATACAAACAGACACAAACAGAGAGGGGGAAAAAAAAAAAAAAACCTTCTATGACAAAAATCTATATGGCTGATATTTGATATTTACATCCTCAACAGCCAGCAGGTACTATTCAGCAAAATGAAGATCAAATAAAGCACATGAATACATGAAGCACTCAAACATGTGCGAAGCTTGTTTACTGTCCCATAGAACACACTCTGGTAATATACCTAAAACACATTAATTATACCAACTCTAGAAATTAGGTGTGCACATCATGAGTTTTGTTTTATGTGATTACGGCGAAAGCCTCCTGAGGGATATCTGCTTAACAGGAGGGATCCCTTTGTAGAAGATTTTTTTTAAACTGGTTCGTAGTATACCAGTTACAAATGGGGAAAACCAAGAAAACGCCCATGTAGTCAGCCCGTTTGCGGCATTCTAACCTGAGACAGAACTACCAGTGTTCAACGACACTTCGGCCACTAGTAGGCCCGTGCACTTAATTGGAAAGTACAATTCATTATGTAAACAGACATATGAAGGTGATAATCAGTTGTGTACTGTTTTAAATAATCAAATGTTATAAATGCACAGCTGTTACATTTCTTATTATTTATTAGTCATGTTTATATTACGTAGATCACACATATGATATAATTATGAGTTAACCCAATAACAAAATGTGTACACGCTTTAGTACTTAAATGCTCATCGATTATTTTTCAACTGATGATTACATGTCCATAATAATTTGCAAATAATTGATGACTACAGTTGTTATACAATTACATGATTGTTATATGAATTAAAAGTAACTTCAAATAAACTTTTTGGCAATGTTCATTTTTGTATTCATACATACATATATATACACATCTAATAAGTCATATATTTACATACAGATAGAGAGATGCGATGGTTTAGAAGTTGTTAATATATATTTATTAGTATTAATGTAATGAATAAGATTTATATTAATGAATGTTTGTGACCTGGCTCATAATTACTGTTCTGTCCATTCAAACAAACAGACCAAAAAAAAAAAGGACCTTCTATGACAAATGTTTTTCATCATAAATAATAATAAATCCATAAATTTCCAATGTTTCAAAATGTAGCATTTACAATAAAAGTATAGTTTCTAATGTATTTATAATCAAAAAAGTATTTCATTAATAACATGAAAATAATAGACAAATTTAATGAGTATTCTCATTATTACATAAGCTATGCTTTTTGTTTTTATGCTATGCATCTTTTATGCTGTTTAAAATGTGTCACTGATTATGCAATTAACAATTTAAAAAATAAGTAATTAGGAGAAAAGCCGTGCATATACAAACGGATTTTAAAAAATTATTCAACTTAAATTTAAGAAATAAAATTTTATTAAAAATCATTTAAAGGCTCACTGAATTCGCCAACTCCATCGACTGAGGTGTTTCTCCCCAGACTAACATGACTATGTGACTATATAGCTCCACCAAAACGAGCGAAACGAACAAGACAGTACCATACGGTCCCTGTCGAGCCTGAAACAGCCATCGCTAACGATAACTCCAGTCCTATGGAGACTGATTTTAAACACCCATGGCTCAGACTGCCTAAGTACAAATCCTAATCAGTAACTTCCGAGGTTTTGCCCAAGTCGAGCTCCAGAGGGGCGATCAAATAAGACATGAATTTTTAATGTTCATACAGGTAGCCAGACGAAATGCTTGTTTTAATGATTGCCCGATGCCTTTTGACTCGGCGCTGCCATGTGTCTCATGACCTTGCACCTATTGTTGGCGTGGACCTGCTGACAGTACACATTGGAACTGATTGACATGTTTCTTTAAAAAAAAAAAAAAAGCTGAAAACTGTCAGTTCTTTGACAATACCAACAATCTGATCATGACTTTCTTCTGATAATTAACCACTTTTGAAATGGTTGGACCATGATCTTTTACATTAATTGTTACCTTAAACTAGCCATTCCTAAACTGTGTTCCACACACAGTTGCTAAGCATTCCATGAAAAAATATGAAAATGAGGTTAGCGGACAACAAAACATCATCTGCTTTTATATACACTAGTGTGCAAAATTAAGAGAATTTCCCCATTATGTCGAACTTCTGAAAAATCAACGGACAGGATTTAAATGAAATTTGGTATGAATATAGATTTATAACAGAAAAAGAGATGCACCATTCAAAAATGCATGCATGATTATCAGTAAAGTTCATAGTGCAGGGGTGTCCTGAATCCACATTTGTGATATCAAACTGAAAATGAGCCTAATATGGTCCAATATCACAGCCAGGCAGGTCGGTCATGCAGCATGACAGTATACTGGACAGGAGGCAATTGAAGAGTCCCTGTGGCAGACAATCTCACTCCTGCAGCATGACAATTTACAACTACAGGATGGTTCCCAGAGGGGAATGGTGATATAAAACTGCCCTCCCGAGAATACCTGAGACAGGTTAAGGTCAGGAGGCCTGGTGGGCCAATCCATGCAGTGAATATCTTTACTTTTTGGGTAACCAATGACCAGCTTAGACCTTGCGGACGAACATTGTCATCCATTCAAAGAAACCCAGGACAAGTCAAATATAAGGTCTAAGATTTCCTTACTGTATCTCATAGCACTCAGGGAGCCTTTGCTAAATGCATGTGTGGCTGTGCAACATAATCTCTACCCAAACCACTACACTTCCATCATCATAATAAAGCTCCCCCCCCCCCCCGATGAGGGAGGGATGATATTGAGTTTTAGGCTACTGCAGTGAGCTGGATGCAAGCATCAAGTCTCCTGGCATACAGTCCTATCTCATGAAGCCTTCGGGCTACTGTAGGTTGTGAAACTCAGATTTCGGTGGTAGCATACAGACTGATGTGTCTTTTCATAACATTAAAACCTGAAAAATATTTCTTTTATATGTATAATACAAACTATATCTAATAAATCAGAGTTTAAATTTATTTGCAAAATATTGCCTTACACAATTCCTTTTTATGTACAATGTGCATGTATAACAAATAATTAATTAACGCATTAGTAATTCTTATAATGAAAATTTCAACTCACAACAATATTTTTTCTTGATGGCAATTTGAGTTTGCGTCGAAAAGGAGGATTCCTTTTATTAACTTTATTGAGAAAATGCAATTTCACAGCATCTTGTGACACTGGGCATGAAAATTTATCCCACAGTTTGACTCTTTCTGATAAACTTACAGATGTCAACATTTTCTGATCCTGGAAAAGGAGAAAAAAATATCAAGCATAGGGTTCTATATTCTCTGTATACATTAATAAAAAAGAAAAAATCAAGATATTAAACATCTTACATAAATTTCTACGAAGAAAGCATACATTACAGTTCATTAAAGTATATAACAAATGGAAGATATCATACATACAAATACAATACATACATAATATATTTCAGTTAAATTTAGCACCGATTGAAAAAACAATCAGCTTTCAAGAAATGTTTAAAAGACAAGAATTTGTGGCACTATGAGTTTCAATAGCAATGTTTATTTAATATGCATCTTTCTTATCACCTCATTTTACCATTAGATTCATTCATTTCAGAATTGAGTGACAAGCAGTTTTATTATAAAGTTAGAGCAGGGGTTCACAACAAGGTTAATAATGATTCACTGGAGCTCGAAGAAATTTTAAAAGGGCTTGATTATCAAGGGATCGACAACCAAACATGAACAAGTGATTGGCATAATGAAGATCCCATTAGTTACAAAAAATCATTAATACAGTCAAAAGTCGTTAATCCGAACACCCATAATCCAGAATGATCTATAATCCAGACCTCAAAGCTAAAAGCTCTCTGCGCATGCGTTAACGCATGCACATAGGCGTTTACGCATGTGCGTAATACCTTTACACACGTGCATATGCACATGTGCATAATATGTTTATGCATGCGTGTTTAATGTATAACGAACGGTATAAGCTATGCTAAAATTATCTAATTATCTATTTCAGTTAATGTTGCTAGGACTGCGTTGTTCCTTAATCTTCTAATTGGATCCGGCTTATTATTTTTTGCTGACTGTTAGAGCTATTTTATAAGTAAGCTTGAACTTTCGATTATGTCAAATAGAATTTCCGATGCTCGAGCTGCCAAAGGATCTGCAAAGCAAAAGTATGTTTCGATGTCCATCAAACAAAAAGTGGAACTGCTGCAAAAAATGGATAAAGGCATGAAGAAAGTGACAGAGAGGTGATTTGTTTCTCTAACCATTCCGAAATCTGTTTATCAATTTCATGCTGCTCTGCGGAACGGGGAGGGGGGGATGCGCAATGAACTGGAAGTTGATCTGTCAGCACTATCCTCATCTTCAGGGCAGATGTTTTTATTTTATTCGGCTTATAATTCCTCACTAAATGTAGCGTTTCATCTCGATGTACTCCGATATAATTTAAACCAATTTCCTCGTCATTTAAATATCACGAATATACATCAAATAGATTTCTTGTTGCAATTTTCTAATTTCGACTAAGCGCAATGCTTTGCGCCTGCGCACATTGAAAGAAATGTTTAATAAAGTAAACAAATAGATATTAAGCTTTTTTTTTTTTTTTTTTTTTTTTTTGTAAATTTTGATACCCTTTAGATCATAATTGCTCTTTATTTCATAAATTACAGTTTCATATTTTTAATTTTATAATTTCTGCATGCCATCTTACCAGATTGAAACTGATGATCTATAATCCAGAAAAACCGATAATCCGGAATCGCCGAAGTCCCGACGAGTCCGGATTAAAGACTTTTAACTGTACTGTTAAACTGATATAAAGCTATATAAAGTATCTTATAAAATAAATATAAGGGGACAAATATACAAAACTATTTAATATACTTTAAAAATCAATTACAGTATAAAGTTTGAGATTTGAATGTCCAATATCCAGAATGATCTAAAATCCGGACCTCAAAACTGCCAACAACTTTTTTTTAAATGCTTTACGCATGCAAAATTTGATTTTTTCCCCCGCATTTAAAGCATGTGTAGATTCCTGATTCTTAATTTCCTTTCACCACTAAAGCACTAAATAAATACTTCGTTACTGAAAAAATATATTTTAGCATAAATTTGTGTGATCAATAATTTGGCTCCGTAGCTGCATATCTGCTTGGCATACATCTCAAAACGAAACATTCTAGATAGAAACGTTGTTAATTTTAGTCCTACTATATTTTATATCCCTGACACAACCTGGCGAATCATTATTTATTATATTTTACTTTATTACTGCATGTTTATGAACACATGAAAACTTGAATAATGACTCATGCAGTGATGTCCAAACATTTTTTTTTTTTTTTTTTTTTAATTATTTGTAAAAAGAGTATGGTAACCTTTTATGTTGACATTATTACTCTTAGCAATCTTAGCAATACAGATTTATGTTAAATGCACTAAGAAATTTTGAGGTAAAATTTAACCAAAATTTCTTGCCATATGGAAGGATCAGCCTTTCTAGAATTCTAATATCTCTACTGGCCCTACATAAAAAATAATAATAATAATAATAATAATAATAATAATAATAATAATCCTGGGCATTAACCTTCAAGATAAATGTCCGTACAATGAAATGGTATACATACACTCTAACCTGCAGCAAAACTTATCAGTAGTCAATGCATAAACGACATTTTTACAACTTTGAAAATGCACACGTACAGCATATTTTTTATAATAATTTAATTTTTAAATAATCATTAACTTTAATCAATTTTATTACATTTAATTTAAAATCCAATATATATGACTGAACACTTAAAAATATTCCTTATAAATTATATGCATCTTTAACTAGAAATTTTCATTTTACTCCTTAAGCATATATTTCACTAAATTTACCAATATATGATTGAAGCAAATATTTTAAATTACTACTAACCACAAAGAAAATCAGAATCGATAAATCATATAGCTTTATATGGTTTCTGGATTTGATTTCTACAGGGAAATAACATTTTTAAAAATTCAATTTTAGCTAACCAAGAGTAATACATATAATTACCCAAAAAAAAAAAAAAAATACAGTGGTACTTTGATATATACAAGTGCCCTAATATACGAGAGTTTTGAGATACGAGCCGCCAAACGAGCGATATTTTGCTTTGAGATGAGAGCAAAATTTGAAAAATGAGGAATCGCATACTAAACTGCTGCCCACGACCGCAACATGAGTGCGCATGTTGGTGTCGTGTGCAGCGTCTAACAGCTTTTCCCACTGTCTGTGTGCTTGTTTCTCTCATTTTCGAAGCATTTTTGTTAAGTTGAGTTCGCATGTTTTGCTTTTTGTACATTTACAAAACATTATCACATTCATTTTTATAACGATGGGTCCGAAGAAGGATGATGTCTATTGAATTAAAGTGTGAAAATATAGAAAAACATGAGCAAGGTGTGCGAGTAATCGACTTGGCAAGGATGTACAGGCATAGAACATCAATGATATGAGTTGATAAAGGGTATAATGCCAGCTAAGGGCGTTACAATAATTTCTAAGCTCCGTACCTCTCTCCATGAAAAGATGGAGAAACTACTGATGGTGCGGGTGACAAAGAAGCAGCTTCAAGGAGGAACCTTAACACAAAGCATCATATGTGAGACGGCATGAGCAACTTATGGTGATTTGCTGAAGCAGATCCCACACACTTCCACAAGCGAGGAAACGGAAGACTCGTTTAAAGCCAATTCGGGCTGGTTTGACAACTTTAGGAAAAGGACCGGCATTCACTCCATCGTCAGGCATGGTGAGGCAGCAAGTTCGGATGTGAAGGCAGCTGAGGTTTACATCAAAACGTTTTCCAAACTGATAGAAGCCAAATACTTTCCCCAGCAAGTCTTCAACTGTGATGAGACAGGGCTTTTCTGGAAAAGGATGCCGAATAGGACTTACATAACGGCAGAGGAGAAGACGATGCCAGGTCACAAACCCATGAAGGACAGATTAACTCTAGCACTTTGTGCCAATGCGAGTGGCGACTGCAAAAATCAAGCCACTGCTAGTATACCATTTGGAAAATCTCAGAGCCTTTAAGTCACATAAGATTTTAAAAGAAAAACTGCCAGTTATATGGAGGGCAAATCCGAAGGCGTAGGTCACAAGGAAATTCTTTGTGAAGTGGATAAATATGGTGTTTTGCCATTCTGTTAAAAAATATCTACAAGAAAACAACCTACCCATGCAAGCCTTTCTCGTCCTCGACAATGCCCCTGCTCACCCACCAAATCTCGAAGATGATTTACTCGAAGAGTTCAAGTTTATAAAGGTTCTCTACCTACCACCCAACACCACTCCTATCCTGCAGCCCATGGATCAGCAGGTGATTTCTAATTTTAAGAAGTTGTACACCAAACACATTTTTCGGCGCTGCTTTGAGATGACGGAGAACACAAACCTTACCCTTCAAGAGTTCTGGTGTGTGTGTGTGTATAATTAAGGCAAAGCACACGAGGGCTATATGCCTAAGGGGAGGGATGCCTTCGTGGAGGACTTTCTAAGGGAAACTGGCTCGTATACATGTTACACATGGGGAAAACCATGAAAACGCCCATGCAGCCAGCCCGTTCGCGGGGTTCGAACCTCGGACCGAAATACCAGTGTTCAGCGAATTTACCGCTCGGCAGCTGGTGGGCCCTCAAGAGTTCTGGAAGGACCACTTTAACATCGTGATATGACTAAGAATTATTGATCAGGCCTGGCTGGGTGTTACAACGAGAACCTTAACCTCTGCATGGAAGAAGCTGTGGCTGCAGCTGAAAGGGCCTTTGAAGGATTGGAACCTGAAGTGTCAGTGGTAGAGGAGATTGTTTTTCTGGGAAAATCCATAGGGTCTAGAGGTGGATGAGTGAGATGTGAACGAACTCGTTGAGGAACAGTCTCAAGAGCTGACAACTGAGGAGTTATACGATCTACATTTGCAGCAGCATACGATGGTTCAACGAAAAATTAGTTTTCAAGGAGAGCCAGAGATGGAGGAGGTTATCCCTACAAGAGATATAAAGAAGATCTTGGGAATATGGGAGAACGTTGTAGAGCTAGTGGATAAAAATCACCACGAAAAAGTTGACACTGGTCGTGTATAGGAGTTGTTCAACGAAACTTGCCTAACTCATTTCCGCAATATCCTGACAGGGAAGAAGAAACAAACCTCCTTAAACAGTTTTTAAATGATCTGCAGGTGAAAATGAGCAAAGCGTGACGAAAAAAACGAAGACCAGTGACGAAAATTAAGCGCTTCTGTAAGCACTTCACTTTTCCTTTTAATTATGTTTCTATAGAATATGTATTTATTATTTATAAATAAATTATTCTTCTTGTAAATACATTTTTCTTATTCAAAAACACAACAAAAACAACTGAGGTGGTGTTTTGGGAGCTGGAACGGATTAATGGCATTTCAATTAATTTGATTGGGGAAAACTGCTTTGAGATATGAGCAATTTGACATATGAGCAAGGTTACGGAACGAATTAAACTTGTATGTCGAGGTACCACTGTATAATTATCAAAAAAATATTTATAATTTATTTATAAATTATGAGTGCAATGATTTATATGTAGCATGCTTAGCAAGCTCAAGTTTTGAATACAAGACATTTTTTTTTATATAACAATTTTTCATTTGCTTGCATGCTAAATCTTTTCATCCAGAACTGCTTCAAGAGTTTTAGAAAATAAATTTGGTTGAAATTCAGTCTGATTTTTTTTTTTAGAATAGAAAAAAATTCTTCCACACACTTTATTTGAATGGTATTATTAAAATAAGTATTACAATAAGCAACACTTTGTATTTAATACACCATTCATATTTTTAATTTGGCAATTTCTCCCCATGCTATATCAATACGCAAATACATAATTTCTTTCAAATTATCTACTTGATACACAGAAAACTCAATTTCCACTTGATTATGATATATTCGTCAATAACGGATGGGAAAGTATTCATCAAGAAATGAACAGATAAAACGTCACAAACTTCAGCATGTTTTAGAAATGGATAATTTAGATTAAATTTATATCTTATATATAAGCATACAGTTACCAAAAAAGCTCGTACTGAATTGAAAAATAATTTCACTTCCATTTAACCGGTATTTTTAAAATATAACCTTGTTTCTGCACCAGTCACTGAATTTTTATTTTCTTTTTAAATTATATTTCTGAAATGGAATAGAAGTTCATTTTATTTGGAAATTACTGATGGTTTATGAATCAAATGAATAAATTCGTTAGCAGTTGCTTAACAGCTTGTTATTGCAAATTAATATACTGTTAAGACACAATAACACACCGAACAAATAATAATTCAGAAATCAAACAACAAAAATCAGCGTTATATATTCAAAATTTTCACAGGACTAGTTTCGATGGTTTATCGAACCACCATCCTCAGCTGCAAAACCGCAAATGAACAAGATAGGAAATAATGATTAGATAAGATAAGAAAGCCTGGGCAAGACTAAGTAAGTGGCGCCATCTGTTGATGAAACCAGAACTAAAACATAATTTCTTTAAAGGCCGAATGCAAAGATGGATTGGAATTAGGATCGTTAACTAGAATAGAAAGATTTTTTTGAAAGCTTTCTTGCTATAAAATCCATATTGCATACTAGTTCCCCTACGCTCTTTCTATAAAACCCATAGTTTTCCTCCACACATTTCATAGCTCATAGTTTTTCAGGAATTTCTATAGAAACTATGCAGAATGCACATCCATAGTAGTTGAAGTCTATAGGTATATAACAAAGATTACATATATGGACAAATTCTCAAAATTGGAATTTCTAGTTTTGAGAAAATAAAAATAAAAAAAAAAAAATAATAATAAATAAAAAATCAGAAATTATGTCTATATCTGGAATTCAAACAGGCCTGTCATAGCATGAAAACAAAATCTGTATTACCACTAAATGTTCTGCATGGTTAGGGCACATCCATCTTCCAGTTGGTAAAGTTGTCAAAGGAGGATCTAAACAGTCAGCGTGGAAAAGTAGAGGACAGTAGTCACACTGGATAAGGGGAGCTTTTCGACAACTCCTAAATATAAACGCACATATATCACATATTGTTATTATAATACATTAAATGCAGGTTACGTATATACATAAAAATTTACGATGCAAATTTACATAGCTTTCAAATCAAACTTTCCTGAAAATAAAACAAAAAGTATGCTGAACATAATTTACACTTCAGTTAAAGTATAGGATCTCTTATTAGACATTATGATGCTTATACATTTTTTAACAATTTTAATTATGCTAATGGTGGGCCATTCTTTTATGAGATGAGATAAGAATGTTCACTCACTGAACTGAATCAGTTCATTTTTATGACTCAGTGTTCACTAACAACAATATTGGTGAATAAGATCAGGAAAAGGGAGAGAATCAAGAGTGTTGGCAATGTTGAAGCTAGGAGGAGGAAGAATCCAAAGAGCACGGGGAAGGGGGGGTCAGAAGAATCAACTTGATCTAACTGCCAATTCCCTAGACAGTTTTATTTATTTTATCTTTGATTCCCTAAAGCCTCATTTCTGCAAAGGACTAACAAGATTTAAAGATTAAGATTCTAGAATTAAAATAATAATAATAATAATAAAGTTGGGACTTTTTTTTTAATTTTAATTTTTTATTTCCAGTGGTTAAGCAAAACGTTACAAAGAACCTTACAAACAACAGAATTAAAAACAAAAAGAATAAAGTCATTGCCTAAGGAGCACTCTTGCCTACCAGTAGCTGGACTCTTCTGTAAGACCACAAAGAGCCACACATCAAAGCAGGTGGTTCCTGTCCATTTCTTCTCCAGAATCACAAAGTGGGCAAATAAGATCGCTTGAAATGGCCGAGTGATGCAGGTGGGCAGCAAAGCAATCATGCCCTGTAGACAGACAGAAAGCCAGCACTGCACTGTGTCTTGGACTATCAGGAATAAGAGAAGGACTTACCATTCTCCAACTTTTTAAAGCTATACGAGTCTGAAGATTTCGTAAGATATTAGATGTAGATAAACTTTTTAAAAACAGTTTAATCCTCCAATAAAAAAATGGCTGTATTAAGATACTGTAGTAAGCTGGCACCTCTTTTTGCAAAGAAGTCCGCATGTTCATTGCCCCAAAGCCCACGATGGTCGGGCACCCACTGGAGAAAGATTTATTAATTTAAATCATTTTGCTGGGTATTCCCCCCCCCTTAGGGTAAGAAGTTAAGCCATGGAGGTAGTTAGATGGAGTAGCCCTAAACCGGTTTCCCCATACACTGCTTTGAAGCACTGGCGATCCCTTCTTTGGTGACCAAAACATTGGGTAATTTACCATCGAGTTCAATGGGTTTTGACACGATTGGATGTAAATATTTTGTAATTACGTCGTAAATATGCATATAAATGTATATATTTTCTTTTTCTACAATACTTCAGAGTCCTAAGTAATTTTAAATAAATTTAAGTAAAAGAATTCATTTTTAAACAACATTTCATTCTGAACGGAATTAAATACTATATTTTTCACAGAACAGTTTGCTCAAAATGGTTTAATTTAAAATAATTTCACAAGTTTTCGTTAATCGCATTAGAAAAAAAATTTAAGGTACTTCGATTTGATTTGGTTAAGGATTACAAAAATTAAGATCAAAGTTTATTGTATTATTAAAATTATGCATTATTTCTAAAATACTTTCCTAAAATTCCTAAAATACTTTCTCAAATATGACATGATTTTTTAGCTTCTAAGTCATCTTTTAAATCGAAAACTATAAGTCAGTTTATAATTAATACTCTATTTAGTCCATTGCAAATTACAGCATCTTTTAATTTAATAGCGAAATACTTTAAATAGTACTTAACTTTCTCTGAATATTTCTGAAAGGGAATAAAGTAAGGATTATTTTTTAAATACTATTTAAAACTTGTAACTGACTTATTATAAAATGTAAGGGGAATCATTCTTTTAATTATACTTATTAGATTTTTTTACCCTTCATTTCAACAATACATATTCCAAACCTCTTCTTTATTACTTTCTTAAATATGCATCTCATAGAAATTGCTTTAACCTTTTAACAGATTGCTTTCCAGTACGAACAATTCTTGCTTAAATAGTTTTATAAGATATTTGTCAACAGGATGTCAATTTATGCTTACAATTCAATGTCAATTTATGCTTACAATTCAATGTTAAGGTTATTATATATTTAGATAATATTTATAATCATTATAAATTTAGATACATTTAATAATTAGATTTCTTCACAGTAACTTTTACAGTTATTTATGAATGAATAAATCCTTCATTTCAAATACATTTATAAAAATTTAATAAATATTTACGTATTTTGTTAAAGGCAGATACATGACTTTTGTAAGCACATGCATATTTCATATTTTTCATTTCTGGCATGTAGAAATCTTTAATTTCTGTGCATTCACTATATTTTACGAGTAAAGTAATTTACACTAATTTTAAAAAGTACATGTTACAATAATACGTGGATGTGAAAAAAAAATTATTTTATTTAAAACATTCTGGCATCTGGAACATAAAATAAAAGTAGCGAATACTGTATTAAGGGTATCGTAAAATGTATACAATTTTAAAGGTACGGTGAGGTATTTTTCATTCTTTAAGCATAACTTTTTTGCTAAAATCTATATTTTATAGTTCAACAGCTTAGAATTTTATGAAACAAATTCATAATCAAAATCGCTATTGTTAATTATCGAAAAATAACCAAGATGTGATTTTTGCATAAATGTCACTAAACTATATAAATTGCTATTATCCATCATCATACTAGGAATGTTTCTTTTATGTGGAGGTGTCCCGTTTTTCGATTTGTATGGAACTGTCGTGTGTCGAAATACTATCAGAGTGCTGTCAAGCGAGCTTCTGAATGTAAACAAGAAAACACCCCATCTGGTGACTGAAGCTTCGGAACAGTGCTTCATTTCTAATGCTGATTTGGCCACTCCTTCCTTTCTTACCTCCATGGTGAAAGCTAAAAATTAAACACCAAGAGACCCAATGATCTATCAGGAGATGCAATGAGAAATCAGGAGTCTCCCAGTTTCAAAGATAAATTTTTATGGAATGCCTATGGTTTAGAACCATCCATCTCTACAAAGGGAATGCCTGTGGCTACCTTCATATCATAAGCATAAATAGCAAGCAAAAATAGGAAAAATGCATAAAAAGAATTCCAGGAAAAGCTAGAGGAAGTAAAATCAATTCAGAAAATTTAAGGAGAAGTAAGAAATTTTAAATTTACATGTGTGTGTATATATATATTGTAAAATTATTTATTTATTTATTTTTGGTATGCATAATGTTTAAGATTTTTAACATGAACAACACATACATATTGAGATAAAAGTGAATGGTAAAATGATCAAGATTAATAGGGTCCTAGGTCACCTGGTCTAAAATCAGAATGCAATGCTGATTACTAAATGCAGGAAAACATGTGCTGCAAAATTTAAAATGCAGGAATTAATGTGATTTTGATCATGGACAGATTGATAATATGCATGATGGTCTCTTCAGATGATGGTTGGTGAAGGATTAGATTTTACCCTTAGCCATCTCTAAGACAAGTAAGAAAGAACTCAAGGAACGTCATCTGTCCTAAGTAGCATCTCTGCTGGAACTGAGACTGTAGATATTATCTTTTGGGTGACAAAGTCCCATATTCCTGGCCAATGATAGAACTCACTCGCTTCATCAAATGAGGTACTGCTGGATCATTTACTGGTAAATTCTGTAGGATTGTAATACTGTTGGAAATTCGTAAATAAATTTTGTCTAACATAACGATTTAAATTTTGTCTAACATAACTATTTAAAGATGAAATGTAACTCTATTTTTTTTTTTTTTTAAATTTGAGATTCATGTTTAAAATCTAGATTCACATCAAAATATAGAATGGTACTTAGTTTATCAGGGTCAATGTTCCTTCTAACCTTCTTCGGGAACATACAAGGACTTGACTCAGAACAGAGAGCTTACTAAAGCTATGTTCACTAATTGTGGTAAGTAGACAGGATACAGACGAAGGGTATACAAAACCCTTTATTTTTCTCTATATACAATAACTTCCGTACTTCGGAATACACTGACCCGCCACTTGGGGTCTAACGTAAAAGCATAAAAATAAAACTAAACTCTAATTTAACTTTAGAATAATAAACGTGGAAGATTCGCCTTATATTAACAGGAAGCGTATGTAGTACAGAGACTGTGAACACTACAATACGTTTAAATTTATCAAGAGGATTAAAACCTCTGGTCTGGAAGGCAAACAGCAACTAAGTAACTTCTAAGGTAAGCGGCCTGCTTCGAACTCACTGCTTCCTCTCTCTCGCTTGGCAAAAAGCCACAACTTAAATACTTGGCGTTCGCCAGACAAACTTTGCATAAAAACCTTAACGCTTATAATTCTGGCCGGAAGTAGAAAATAAGAAGTGATAGTAAAGATTTAAAATAAAATAAACGTTAGTAAAACTTAAGATCCTTACAAGTTTATATCAATTAATATACCTTTTACACTGATAACATAATTTTGCAGGCAGATGCAATAATCCGTTGTCTAATTCATGAGCCATCTTCTTAGAACATCTATTAGCTTCCCTAGGTCTCAGTCGCTTACTTGAACCTATGTAGTAAATATATAAAAAGAATATAATTAAGTATACTGTTTCATGTCAAATTAAGTATTCAATTTTAAGCATTATTTGCTAAATAATCTACATTAGCATAATACTTAATATATTTACCGTAAATATGTTTTAACTACTCACATAGCATAAATGCTGATGCAACAATGACTTACTATACTAATATTTTAAACCAAAATAAAAAAAGAATAAATGTAAAAAGATTTATCATATATTACAACCTTCTTGATAGCACAGCTAAAAAAAAAAAAAAACTAAATACTGTCTTGAAAGTTGCACCATATAAATATCTAAACTATGTATAAATAATAATAAAAAATCAAAAAATTAAATTATTATTCACACATTGCAAAATCTCCCCAAGTCAATTAAAGTCACAAATTATTCAATATAGCAAGGAGATGAATGCTTTTAGATTTTACAAGATACACAGATACTCATATTTAAATTATTCAGATAATTTCTTAATTCATCAAATATTCTCAATTATTTTCAATCCTAAAGGAAATGTAGCTTTTTAGAAATAATTTAGAGTTTCCACAATTGACAAGAGAACAAAAAATTCACACCAAAAAAAATTCAAAATTTATACTTTTGATTGTTGCAACTGATTGCTTTCTATGACAATAAAAACAAAAAAGAAAGAATAAAAAAGAAACAAAAACTTTAATAAAAAATTTAAAAACTGTTTTTATAAAATAAGCTCTTATTTAAAATTAAGGGAACAATTAATGAACTAAAAGTAGAAAAATAAATTATTATACAGTTTAATGGAAGCAAGAGATTAAATACCGTATTTGCCGGCATATAAAAAGCATATTTTTTTCTTTGAAAATAGGTCTGAGAAACTGGCTGTGTCTTATAGGTCAATACTCAGTTTTTGATTACATTCATTTCTGGAAATTTCCTCTATTCGGAGTAAAGCGATTTTTTCTTGTTTCATTGCGGAGTGTGGGAATGTTACAGTTACGCAGAGTTCAGTGAACGCACATGCGCTGTCATCGATGATCACAGCTGGGTTCATTTAAACTTTCCAGGTTTCGTGAACGACTTTTAAGAGTGTGAAATTTCTACTGCTAAGTTTTCTTAAATTTGTTGGCAAGTTTCAGCTCCAAAAACAACATCGGCATTGCTATAACATAGCATACAAGCTATGTGTGATTGCATGTGCTATTATAAAGAACGTGGAAACAGGGCTGTAGAAAGGCATTTTGGGTCACCCCAACTGAGAAAATGATAATAACTGTGAACTGAGATGCTGTGAAACCAGAGACAGTGGTTAAATCATTCAAGAAGTGTGGCATTAGTAATGCACTGGATGATACAGAGGACAATTTATTGTATGAGGCCTCAGATGCTGATTTAGAAGAGGTTTCAAGTGAATCTTCATTTAGTTCTGCAGATGACAGTCTGGGTTTTGACGAAGAAATGTTTCAAGAACAGTAAAAGAAACAGTAAAATCATTTTATCCTTCAAAAATGTGTATAAAATAGAAATTTCAAAATCTATCTACAATATTTTATCGTGAATAATAAAAGCATAGGACATCCTTGATATATTTAAAATGATAATGGCTTATGTTGTTGTTGTTACTAATCTCCATGTCTAGGAATATACTAGAAGAGGTCCACGAGTCCATTCACCTTCAGAAAATCGAAAACAAGCTTAGGAGACTTCTAAAGGTCCTCAAGAGACAACTCCAGGCACTTACGGATATTGACTCATGGGTGGAGGAAAAGGGCAGCCTCTGTAAGTCGTGAGACACGAGCACCAATGGTAGAGGACTGACTTAGCTCAGATGCCTGTAAGCTTTAGCTGGGTATAGTGGAATAGCCTTCACGCCTTGGGTGGCCCTACTAGGAGCATACACTTCCGACGTACTTCCACCCAGGCCACCCCCTCGCCACATTGATTTAATTTGTTCGTCATCCAAGAAAATTCGGTGTTTTGGATCTACATATATTGAACCCAGCAAGATCTTATTGTCTAGCAAACTAGTTTCTCTTTTCTACACTGAAGAAATGATTCCTTCTGTAATAAACCCTTCATTTCAGAAAGAACAAACATCACTTTCTTCCATTCTCGCCTCCTGTCAATTCTTCAGATTGCAGCTTTTTTGTGGCTTATACGGTGTAGAAAGAAGTGTTTCCAATTCTGAAACATCATTCCACAGTCTTTCTGTTAGTGAAACATTAGGGTTATCAACATCTTCTAAAAATGTTCTTAATTCTAAAAACCTCTTTATCATCAAATATGTACTTCCTTATCACATTGCTTGATCAATAATTGCTGCTTTTCCTGCTCGCTTCCTGAGAATGGCATCAATTTTACGAATGGCATCAACTTGCTATTATTGCTGCTTACCTAAATTTACCAGTGAGATTTGTAACTAAATGAGGTAACTAAATTAATCAGATTGAGCACTAATGGCAAATATCACATCCATCCTCCTTCCTTATATTTATTTATTAATAGGTCAATAAAACAGAAAATAACTATATATTAATGTAGACAGTCGATAAATAAAAATAATAACTTAGCTTTTCATTAATTTTTTCAATTCAATTTAATTTCATTTCAAATTGAAACTGTCCAACGAAAACTGGAGTTGGAGTCGAAGTCGATCTGTTTTTAGCGACTCCAGCTCCGACTCCTTTTACCCCAAAATCTGCCCGACTCGGATTCCGACTCCACAGCATTGGATAAAAGTATATGAAATGAAAATTTAAATGGCACATACTTCCTCACAATGCGGTAACATCATAACCTTGAAACCAAGTTTCACAACAATGCTGAAGAAGTATTTCAATTCGAGTTTCTTCATTTATATAATTTTTAGCATTCTTGCTGAAAAAGGGGGCGAAGAGTTTGTTTACAGTTGTAAAGTTCCGAATTTTGCAACCACTACATTTTCAAATGTTGAAATTTTAAAATCATAAATGTCAAATAATCAAGGGAAAAAATTACCTATCATTCACCAAAAAATCAGAAACAAAGTCAAAAATTTCACACAAATTTCATTCAGAAGATTTTAATTTTTTTCTCTTTGTGTGTCATTCCACGGAATAAATTTATGAGATTTTTAGTTTGTTCGTTAAATGAAGATATGTGCAAATCATTTTTTCACTAAATTTTAAAATACTTTAATTTTTTTTTAAAATTGCACCACTACATTGCATTATCATTTATAAACTGTGCATGTACAAAAGCTTATTAGTAAGTAGGTTGAAAACTAATGACAAACTCCTGAACCAACAATATGAGATTATAATAGCTACCAATCTAAAAATTAAATAGAAAATTCATAATTTTAAAACTTCAGAATACAATCAATATTGAAAAGAAAAGTGAAGCATTATATATTTTTAAATACAAAAAAAAATCTTTTAATATAAAAAATTGTCAATATTTCATTTTTCTTAAATAAAATTAATATTAAGGAAAAAAAGCAACCTAATTTTGGCACAGATTTTTATAAAATATATAATAATAAAAATAACGCAAGTTTGTTTTCTACCGAAAAAGGACCTGTGACTGATTGAGCTGGAAATTCATAGAGTTTTGTTCAAAATTTAGGCCAATCTGGCTGCACGTTTGCTTTTTAAGTTTTACATTGGTATGGTTCTCTCTCTTCTGTTTGAAAATTAATACCGTTGCCAACCCATAAGATTAAATTTTTACTTGATTCAAAAGTAAAAATTTAATCTTATGGGTTGGCAACAGTATTAAATTAAAATGGACTTAAAATAAAAGAAGCTCCTGTGCTTCTTTCACCTCCTTTTCAAGTGTATAAACAAAAACTTTGATACAAACGAAAACTATCAAAGCATTAAAAAATTGTACTACTTTTTGTATAAAATAATATACATACATAAAGCCATGCAATGAACCTACTTTTACGACAGCCATAATATAAAATAATACTTGCTGCAAAATGCTGTAAAAGTCCAGATGAAAATCCTTTTTATATTAAGTTTACTTCAGTAATTACACAGTATGTTTATAATACCAAAAGTAATGAAAGATCTCATGCATTATAAATTGGCAACAATGTCTACTTATGAGGGACATGATTTTATCTCAAATTGCAAATAATACCACTTTGAGTTATTTAAAAAAAGATCGAAAATTAAACATATATTTATCACTGATGTTTTTTTAACAGCTTGGGAACAGGGTGCTTATTTTCACAATGTGAATTTTATAACCATGTAAAAGAGAAATTAATACACTATTACCAAATTTCCTTGCAAATTTTTCCCTTTAGCTTATGAGCACCAGATTTTGAAAATTTTTAATTATTTGTGCAATCTTCCCCTTCCTTAATAAGTTAAAAGAACGAGCTCCCAAAATTTTTAAATTAATTAGTCCATAGTGTTTGTTGTTGTCATACTAACAAAAACTAACCCTTACAAACTACCTGCACAGATAATACAACATCTGCACAATAAGAAGTACTTAGAAGGGCTAAGTACTGAATTTTATACTGCCTAATACAAGCACCAACCCACCACAGCAAAGCAAACACAAACCTGCAGTCAATCTACAATTTTGCCCAGTAGGCTGTACATTCTAAATATTTATTCTAAATATTTATGGATGATTTTAAGCCTGAGCAGTAGCAGAGACAGCAATAAGAACAGTCGAGATTCAAGTTATACGGAAGTAGAAATGAAGATTTTTTTATTAAATATTGTAATCCTAATATTACTACTTATTCTTATTGAAATGTAAGTTTTCAGCCCCTCCCCAAGGAAATGATAATGCGATAGTTACCTGTAGCTTATGCAGAACATTTTTTACTTACTTCGGTTCTTACTTCAGTTCTTTTCTTATTAATTTTTAACAGTGAATGAAAGATATTCACATATAAATATATTCCCAAACAAAGCAATTATTCTTAATGCTAAAATTTATAGCTGAGTGTTTTTATTTTTCCACAAGTACGAATAAAAATTAATAAAAAACAGTACCATCA